CGGTTTTGTCCACCCTGGCCTTGCCGTGCCTAACAAGATCGAGGTACGAGTCAAAAGCCTTGAAGGCCAGGTCGAACTCCGCCACAGCTAGGTGAACGGTGTAAAGACATCGGAGAATTGCGGTTGAGTGGTACGTCTTGGTCGCCGCGGCATACAGGGTGTCGAGGACACCTCTGCTGAGGCTTTCACGACCACCCTGGCCCAGATCCTTCTCAGCCCAACCGCGACCACAAAGAATAGACCAATTCCTTACGACAGCCTTGATAAAGGACTCAACTTCTTCTCTAGTCTCGTCGGCGCGGGGAAAGCTGGTTTCGCTGATGAGGAGCGCCTCATACGCGGCCTCGGTCTTCTTCAGCTCGACTCTCAGCTGGTTTCGCGTGGATGAAGCCTCGTTTGTGATTTTACCAAGGAACCCAGTCGGGAATGGGATGTCAAGCTCGAGTATAGTCGACAAGGCCAGATAATACTCAAGCCAGACCTGTCGTCTCGGCACTGAGCCCCTATATCCATACCCCCCCGTGACCGGCCCAGTCATCGACTCCCAGTACCTAGCCCAAGATCGGAAACAGGCGACCGAGTTAGGATCTGCGAGTGACCTCTCGTTCGAACGGATCGCATCGCTTTGAAGCACACAGTACTCGGTCAGAAACAGTTCAGACCAGACCTTGAATTGCTTGTGGGCGGTTCGGGGGCTCGAAGCCATGGATACGGATGGCAATGCGGAATCGAAAACGGAGAGAGCCTCGGTTGTTCTTTGGGTACGGGCAAGGCAGTTCGCCTTGATGACGGCGGCCTTCAAAGCGCTGATGTTGGTCCATTCCGACTTGTCGGCGGTGCTCAACTCCTGCTCGATGTTCTGAGGCAGCTTGAGGGCTGCCTGGTCGACCTCTCCAACGACCCAGTGCAGCAGTCCAGCGCAAACTTGAGCCTGGAATTTATCTTCCGGGTGGCTTGTTTCCCCATCTATAGCGGCCTGGAGCTTCGATTGAACGTTCGCGGCATCGAGATCCTTGGCGGACACGGAAGTCGAAGGTCGTCCAGCACCAGAGGGGTCGGTGGCTTTGGCAACGGCGCATTCGGTTTCGGCGGCCAATGTCAGACCTAGAGGGGACTCGGTGTCAGTAACGAGGGTATCGCGGCGTTTGCATGCTTGTTTCGAGGCAACGGACAGGCTCGGTCAGGCGCATGTTTCCTGATTTTGCGGACGAACTCGGGGACGGCGCTCCAATTGCCTTCGCAACGGGCATCGTCGAGGGCCTTGATGTAGTGGGCGGCTTTATTCGGATCGGGCTGCGAAGAAGAAACAACAAAAACCTTTGGTCAGCTCCTAGGTCTCGACGTCATTTGGGGTCAAAGCCAGGGGAGGTCTAGACAGAAGCCCCTGGAGAATATGGGACAAGGAAGCACTCACAGCCATTTCGCGATACTGAAGCCTGTGCCAATGATGGGACAGAAGTGCAAAGCAATCCTACTAGCAGCGCATTTGAATCCACAGCATTGTTTTGTTGAAGATACCCTAGGGGGGAAGGGGGGTTGGCGATGTTCGATACCCAAGAATGGCTTAATTAGGAGAAGGCACGTTGCGTAAGTGATTGGAGCGACGCGATGGACACGCCCGCTTGTTTGGCAGTGCTACGGATGCTGCTGCCACCAAAGCCCCAGGAAATCAAGGTACTTCGTACGTCGACCGGCAGAAAAGTGCTGGCTGCAGCACAAGCTTGTGAACAGGAGAGCAGCACAGCACCAGCTGCCACTATTGAAGACCAGTGGAGGGTCCCTTGATGAACATTTGCCCTGGGGAGCACGGGCCAGTCGGCCACCGGGCGGTGACCAGTCTCCAGGCCAGGCCCTTTCGTGCCAGGATGGCATCTGAAGATTGGACTCGACCAAGGTACTTCGTACCCTGCAGGGGTATGGTGGTGGATCCATCAGGTCCAATCAGAATCAACATTGCTCGTCGCCGGGGAGGGTGCAATCGATACGTACCTTCACTTACAGGAAAAAGTTTCATTCAGCATCAACGGCAGGTGAATTCCTTGGCTGTGATCCGAGATATTGTCAGTTCCCTCTCACTACGGTGCCCGAATCACAAAGGAAGGTTCTCAATCGGTTTCTCGTCCTATATCCTTCCATCCGAGCTGCACAGAAAAATGTCTCATTCCCTTCCCCCGGATCTGAAGGTCCTATGCCGCAAGTTGACATCGACACCACCGGCTCAACTTCCTCACTCAATCCCGGCCTTCATCAACCACATCCTTCGCTGCAAAGATGTCCTGTCTGCACCACATGACCCCAAAGCCTCCTCCGAGGTCTCAAGTTTGGTTCATAAGCTGAGGACCATCATCACGACTTTGCTCAATGGCAAGAGTGCCATGGGCCGCTTCACCGGCGCAACTCTCGTCAAGGCTGTCGTTGATGTAGGCGGCTGGGAGTGCCTCAAGGAGTCCGGCAACTGGGTTAGAGGGCTTTTGGGGATGCTTCAGGTACGAACGAAATGTTATCGTTTTCTGTTCAACTTGGGTACTGACATTGCATTGCAGAAGAGCGACCCATTCGCGGTAAAGGAGATTGCCATTGTCACCCTCGTGCGCATCTACAGTCTCATTCAGAGCTACCAAACTCTCACAAGAGAAATCGCCACACCGACGATTCCCACTTTCTTCAACGCATGTCTCCAAATGATCAAGCTTCCAAGCGCAGGGCAGCGCCTCAAGACGCCGCTCGCTGTCGTTGAGACTGTCCTGGACGCTTTCTCCGCCATGATTCCCCTGTACCCAACGACTTGCCGCCCCTTTAACGGCCAGATCAGGACAGCCATCAAGCCTTACTTGGCGCCTACCTCCTCCGATGGGTCTACGATTCCTCAGTCTCTCCGCCGGGCAAGCAGACATCTGGCCATCTCTCTGCCACTCACCACGGCAGGCAAGACGGGACCTAGCGAGGACTGGGTCAAGCTGGTCGACGAGCTACGCAAGGACTTTCACTTTACCGCTGACCACGTTTTCCGTGCCGTACAGGAGTCTTGGGAAGCTTCGGCGCCGTACACCCGCTCCAAGGCGGACTTTGACATCCCGCCCCAGGGTCTGGAGACGGGGGATCAGCTCCCTAGCTGGACCGGAATCTCTGCTGGCCGCGACAGACTCGTCGGCCTGCTCCAATACATGACAGACGCCCTCCGCTACTCGACCAAGACTCCCGTCACAATCCCGGTTGCGGCTCTCATGGATGTAGTGTCGCGCGTCTCGTTGATCAGTCGCAGTTCCAAGTCTCAGTCATGGGACCAGGCGCTCGAGACCCAGGCCGCCGTCGGTAGGGAGGAAAAGGAGGAGCTGTGGTCCGCGATGCCCGACATTCACGTCGCCGCTCTGGACTTGCTTTTGGTCCTGGTGCAGAGGTTGGAGCACAACGCTCTCTCGACAATCCCAGAGATTCACGACAACATGATCCTCGTCTTCCGCTCCGGCATCGACATCCCCGCCGTCCGCGCCGCAACATACAAGCTCCTCGACGAGACCCTCCCCATCGCCGGCCCCGGCCTGCAAAAGCTCACAGTCGAGACCCTCGGCATCGTCTCCCTCGCCTGCTGCAGAGACATCCAGCAAGAATCAGGCAACATTCAAAATGAAAAGCCGGCAGCCAACAAGAAGACCGCAGCCGAGAACAAGAAGAACACCATCGCCGCCAACGCAGACCTCTTCCTCCCCACGCAAACCAATACCGCAGACGCCACCACCTCGTCCTCGAGACAAACCCTCATCGCAAAGGACCACCTCGCCGCCGCTGACGCCCTCCTCGCCAGCCTGCTCTCCTACCTGCCCCAACAACACCTCAAGCCGGGCCTCCGCGGCCTCCTCGACCAGACGGCCATCCTGTCGCGCAACAAGGCCGCCATGCTCGCCAGCGTCCTGAACCCGTACACCAACCAGGGCGGTGCCATATTCCCCAGCATCCTGCCCTACCTCGCGCAGCAGTACCCCCGCGACCAGGGTGTCGAGATCCTCCGCTCCAACATCCGCACCTCCCCAACGCAACCCGCCCCGGACGCGCTCGAGGGCATCACCGCCACGCTCGAGGAGCTCGAGGCCGAAGAAGAGGCCAAGGACGCCGAGGACGAGGAGATCCTCGCCGAGATCCAGGTCGCGGGTGACGCGCAGGACGCGGAGATGAAGGATGCGGAAGCCGCCACCACCGGCGGCACCATTGTCGTCGCGGGTGACGAGGACGGCGATATCGTCACGTCCAACAAGACCGAGACCGTCAACCCCTTTGCCGTCACCTCGGCGCAGAAGCGCAAGCTCCAAGACGAGAGCGCGGGCGCGGCAAGCCCGCCCAAGAGACAGAGCGTGGAGAGGAAGGAGGTTGAAAAGACAATTGTGGCTGCTGCTGCTACTGCTGCGCCGGAACCAGTCGCCGCCAAGGCTGCCGAGGAAGCGGATGACGACAGCGACGATGAAAGCGTGCACCTCAACATGGACCTTGACGATGATGAAGAGGAAGAAGAAGAGGATGACGAGTGAGAGAAGACAAGAAGCGAGAAATAATTTATATGGTTGTCATTTAGATGGACATAATACCCCCCCGCCCAACTGGAGACGAGATTTCCCGGGTGAATGGAAAGTGAAAAAGAAAAGAAAAAGTTTGAGTGATCTGGGTATTTGATTTATTTCGACTTGCTCTATAGCAAGTCGAGGCCGTATTTGTACATGATACTGTGGTGAATAATCCAGTATCCAAGGCCATTGCAGCCGACTTATTCTGTAGAGTCTTTGTATGAAGTGTATAGTTAGCCACACCCCGTGACGGGCCGAGGATGTGATGAATTCCATCTTTCCCGCCAATGATGGATGGCCCCTTCTTTCAAAACGCCGCCGTATGAAGGATATCCATCCCTCCTCCCCTTTTACCGTCGCGGATCGCGACGGCAACCCAATTTTATGAACTGCAAAAATTCGGACCAAGAAGTCCAAGCAAGAAAAGAATGCCTCATGCCCCATGCCTCAATCCCGCAACCAAGCCCTCCGCTTCTCCTCCTTCTTCGCCCGCCGCTTCTCCTTGAACTGCTTGAGCTCAGACTTGCTCGGCTTCTTGCCGCTGCGCTCCGCCTTGAGACTCCTTCCATTGTGCGAGTTGGCCGCGGCGTCGACGTCGAAAAAGGCATTCATCTGTCGTCGGCTCTTGGCCTCGTCCGTGTGGCGGTCGGGGCCGTCGTCCAGCGCCTGGAACTGGCCGGTGAAGCGGTTGAACTGCGCCATGGCGCCGTACTCGCCGGCGTTGGCAGCTGCCGCAGAGGACGCATTCTGGGTTGTGTCGTCTTCGTTGGCTGCGCTGCCCTTTGCGTACCACGCGTTCGGGTCGTAGTCGCCGTGGATGGCGGGGTTGTAGCCGCCTGCTGGGGGCGCGTTGTTCTTGGGGAGGGGAGGGGGGCCTGAGGGTATCGTGGTCGCGGAGGCGGTCGTGCCTGGTGCTGATGCTGCTGCTGCTGGTGCTGCTACGCGAGGGTTGTCCCATTGCGACGCGCCGGTGAAGCGGTTGTAGAAGAAGTATGCTTGGGAAGTCGGATCCCACTGGAAGTCCCAGCCGTCGTCTTGTGTTGCTGGAGGAGCGCCTGCGGGCAGGGGCGGCACTTCATTGGTGAGGGGTGGCGCATCGGTGGAAGAGGTATTGTGGTTGTCGCGAGCATCGGAAGGTGCGGGAGAGCCGATTGAGCTGGCCTCGCCGGACTCTGGGGAGCTTGAGTCTCGTTTTGAGTTGTCGTCGTTGTCGTCCTTGGGTGAATTCGATTTCGATTCGTTCTCGGTAGGCTCTGGTTCTTGCTTGATGTCAGGAGCAGCATTGGCTGGGCTGCTTTGTCCAGGCTCAGCCTTGCATGGGGAGGCGGTTTGCGGAGAGTCTGACGCCATGGTTTCAAAGTCGGAATGCAGGGTTTAATGAAGTGGTGTGAGTTGAGTAGGGTAGGTTTGTCTTGTCGCGTGTGAGTGTACGCGTGGGTGATTTGAAAGTTGCCTTGTCACCGGGTAATGATAGTGTGTCGGCCCAGCAGGAGCTTCATTTCATCTCTTGAACTGGGAAGAATGTGGAATTCTGAACCACGTTTTGGGTGGTGCTGGGGAGCAAAGAAAGAGAAGTTGGAAAACGGACGGTTAGAATCGCAAGTTTGACTGTGCTCAGAAGAGAACAGTGCAGTGCAGTGCAGTGTCCCGCCTGAAATTTGGGTAGAGAGACAAGGAAGATGCAAAATGACGGCGATTGACAAGGCAGGTGAGTGGGCGGGAAAAGTGACCTGCGCCCCCGGGGTATCCGTGGTCACACTGTGATCGTCACTGGTCAGTGGTTGGCTGACTAAGTCAGAACACTGTGTGAGGGTTTGTTTGCTTCTTCAAGCGGAAGCCTCGCCCAGAATGGAAGCGTTCCTGCCATGGAAAGTCATGAAGTGTACGGAGTACCTAGGTAGTAAAAGGTACGTACTATAATGACCACCACCTTCCGCCGCTGGAAGGGCAGGGCAGGCGCAATTGGATCAAAAACAACGGGAAGTGGCTGCTGCGGTGCTGCAGCAGGCTCGCAGCACGTTGAGATATCCCCAGTTAAATAGGCCCTTCCAGACCTTCTCACTGGACGGCAGATTGAACAACGGAGGCAGATCCGGACCACGATTCGGTTTGATTACCCTAGCTTGCCGGAACGGAAGAGAAGGAGGAGGAGTACGCAGTAGAAAGCAGTTTGCGAAATACATGACTCTGCATTTCTCGTGGCCTCTTGTTTACTCTATTCTCTCTTTCACTGCGCCGCCTTTTCTCTTCCCTCCTCTTTGGCCCTAGCCCCCCCTCATCTACCTACCTATCCGAACCGTTGTTTCCTCGTCCCTTCTTCCCAAAAAAGAGCGAGAGAGAGGTCTCTACAGCTTGGCCAACCTGTCTCAGCTCCTTTCGAATACCTGCAAGCCATTCATCTCACCGCATTGGTTGCCAGCCTGCCTTCCACACCCTCATCACTATTCCAGCCAACATCCACAACCCTCACTGGGCGCCGCATCGATCTGTCGTTGGAACCGAGAGCCAATGTCGACTCTCTCCGCAAGCCATCGCCTTCACGTGTTGCCTTGCTCTCCCCATTGGGACGATTATTTGCTCTCTGCCTGCCGTTCAACAGCTTCTCCATCGGTTATTATGCTGCCTCTGCCTCTTGTCTGTATGCCGAATACCCCTTACTTTTCTTTCGTCGCGAGCGGTCAGTCTCGTTATACGACCTTGGACGATACAGCCTTCCCATGACCTCCCCGTCTCTCTACAGCATACCATTTACGACAAAAGCTCTTCGCAAGATCCCGACTTCAAGTCTAGGTAGCCTCTCATCACACCAGTCCGGCCGCACTAGCTGCGAGGCCGTTGGCTGTCATGTCTGACCAGGCCAAGCCCCAGCCGTTGCGGCCTCTGCTCCCGGCACCGAAAGCCTCACAACCGCCTCCACCACGTTTACTTCCAGCCCAATCGTCGACCAAGAAGCGTTTACCAAGTACCAAGGTTGCTTGTAACGCGTGTCGATCCAAGAAGAAAGCAGTAAGCACATCTCTATTATCTTGGTGCCAGTGCTTGTCCTCATCACTCGTTGAACGTGCTGACATCCTTGCTCAAGTGTGACGGCAAACGCCCTTCATGTAAAGCGTGCACAGAGCTCAAGACACAATGTGTCTACATCAGCGCCAATGAGACAGAGACGGCCGCTATGGCTCTGAAAAGAGAGAACCAAATGCTTCGAGACATGTTGAGCCAACTCACGGAAATGCCGGATGATGTTGCCCATCAGACTTTGAAGAAGCTCAAGTTCGCCGTCGACCCTTACGCTGCTCTTCGCGCGATAAGGCCGTCGGGGCCAAGGGATGCCCGGGAGATTCTACCTCACATCTCGTCCAATGTCGAGTTTGAACTCATGAGACGCCATCCCATTTTGTACCCTCAGACTCGAAGATTAGGTCTTCTCGAGGTGCCCGAGAGTGTCGACTCTAGGCCTTCCAAAGTAGCTCGGGTCGAGGACGCATCCGAGGAGGGCTCGATTCTCGAGGACCGCCGAGCACCAGAATACCCTACTGTCGCTGAAGTACTGGAAGATGGTCCTTCTACAGCCTCTCCGAAGCCCTCTCGAGTATTTGACTCGGCCTTCTTCGTTCCACCAACGGGGCCCATTCCTCCACCGACGTCGCGCATTCGTAACGAGCCTCGCTTGAGAGATCTGAACATTGCCTTTTGGACCGTAGTGCCCATCAGTAATCAGGATGCAGCAGAAGTCATCTCCCTATATCTGGAAACAGACCATCCGATATTAGGCTTGTTCGATGTAAATTTATTCCTCAACGACTTGGTCTACGGGGAAGTTCGATACTGTTCCTCACTGCTCGTCAATGCTCTGCTTGCTTTCGCTTGTGTTAGTCCTTCCCGACCCCCCTCCCCTTTTCAAAGAATCATGTTATTGATTGTTTCGACTAGCAAGCGTATGCGGCAAAGCAACCTGAAGCGTCTCGATGGAGCCAGGAGCTGGAAGACGAGTCAAACAAGCTCTGGCATGCGCATAACGATGATACCCTGCCTACCATTGCAGCTTTGGCTTTCTTGATTCAGTCTAGCGGCTGTAATGGTAACGGTGAACTCAATGTGAAGTTCATCAAAGATACAGCGGCTATGGCGAAGCGTCTAAAGCTCTTTGGCTGCCCCGACGCATATACCTTTATAGACCTAAATCGCCTGTCAGAACCACAGGCTAGGGCAACTGCTCAAGTAGCATGGGGGGTATTCAATACTCTGAGGTAAGGCCATACCATGAGGTCATTCTTCTTCCAAGAAACATATCTGACGAGTAGTGTAGTATGACAGCCCAGTTTTGTCTACCGGCGACTACTGAGTATCCTCCAACTCTTCCCATGCCAGGCAAAGCCAGACTAGGAAACCCAACACTCGGGTCCGAGCACGAGCGTAGCAGCAGCGCGAATAGTACAGCGCCCTCGTCTGACTCGGATGCTCGAGCCCAGTCTCGAAATCGCACCAAGAGAGGGCGATCTCCTGCAATATCAGACACTTTCGCTGCCTTTTGCGAGTTATGGGTCATTTCCTCTCAAATCACTTGGGTTTATCAGCACGATACCAGCCCGGGTCATTCATCCCAAGCCTTTGCGCTGGAAAAGTACAGCAAATTGTTGTCTTGGGCAGACAATTTGGCTGAGAGTATGGAACGAGACGAGCACAGCCCATCCCATGTGCTTGCCTGCCAGTAAGTTGACCTTGTTGGTTTCGTTAGTGTACGGTGTGCGAACTAATAACCCTCACAGCATGTGGTTCCACGGGACTGTGCTCTACCTCCTCAGGCCGTTCGTCCCAAGCGACAAACAGCATGGCTTCAAGTTCTGGTCACCGTCAGCCGACCAGATACCCGCCTTTTTCGCGGCATCCGTCGAGCAGCTCAAAGACCTCGTCGAGGTGTACGCGTTGTACCCGGAATCGACGTACAGCATCTTCGGGCACACTGCCCTCATCCATATAGCCAACGCCGTAGCTAGCGACATAACGAATCCAGAGTGGCGACCCTACTTTCTCAGCTGCATCCGCGCCTACCAGGCCCTGTACAGCTCCTTTACCGTTGCCGAAGTGATCGCCGGGGGCCTTCTTTCCATGGTTGTCAGGAAAGGGGGCATGAACATGACGGAAGCTCTGGGGCTGCTGCAAGACCTCAGAGCAGGCAAGGGGCCCAAGGCGGGCGGCCGGCCGACTGGGATGTTTGTGACTGATCTTGACCTCGCCGTGACGGACCGCGAGGCGGCAAGGGTTGACCGCTTGATTGAGGACTTTGAAGAGATGACCATCTTGGATGAGTTTACTCAAGGTGTCATTTGAGGTGTAGGATGAGGTGTTTCCTTGCTGCCTTTTTTGTCGCCAGGTGATGCATATTTAGTGCAAGGTCCTAGGGAAAAGACCGGCTCCGTTTGATGATTTGTATTTCCACGACGCACATGCTACAATGAGGAGCTATCGTGACTCTATATTTCTTCCACGATTTAGGTGTAATATGCAATACACGGCGGTCATAACCCGCAGAAGCTGCTTCATTATCCAAGGTCACTTTTGCTTGACATCGTCGCTCCTCATAAATACCCTGGTTCATCCCGAACTCATTGGCGTAGGGAAGTTGAATAGATTTCCTTGGTCTTGTGATGAGCAACTGAGATCTGAGAGGATTTAGAGTCACCGAGTCTAGTTGTTAGCGTCCACATGCCTCAGATCGAGGGTGTAATCATTCAGCCCTGTACTCTGCAGAAGTCCATGGGTTATATTGGTGTGACCGGGGTAACGAGAAACAAACACCTGATAGGACAATGTTATGGGGGACGTCTTCACATGTTCCCGGTCATGTAATGCAGGTCTTGCCTTATAGGATACAGATCCATGCTCGAAGAATCTGAGGTGGGTTTTTTTTTTCGCACTGACCTCACGGGGTAAAAGCAGAGCGCTAGTTCCTTTCATTTCATGTTTCCATCCTCCCCCGATACAACATCGGCCCTACGTTAGCTGCGAAGAAACATCGTATTCCACGAACCATCCGACCACCACTCGGCCCGCCAACGCAACGTCCCAATAGACCCAGGACAACCAGCAGCAGGCCTCCTTGAGGTTTCTTTATGGCCACAAATAGCACACACAAGCTTGAAGCATGGCCATGGCCGCCGCCACGGTGCCATCGCCGTCTACCCGCTTTGCCTAGAAGTCTAGAGCGGCCACGGCCATCTCCTTCAACCAACAACGCTAACGACACAGAAACCAAAAGCGACGGCCGCCGCATCCGGACAGGTTCAGGGTGTCATTACCCAACCCAAGACCCCGTTTTGGGTCAAGTCTCTCTTTTCAGATCATCACCGTCGCCTAGCCTTCCCGCTCAAGCCCTGACGAGGGATCGCTCTCTCCAGCTTTCTTGTCGTGGTCCACCGGGGGAGGCCGCCCCCGATCATACCTATGTTGCCTACGGATACTCTGTGCTACCCCAAACCTGCGCCGCCGTCGCAGTCCCTGCAGATGATGGACTCGAACTTTCCCAGGACGTTTTTTATCAAATCTTTGGCGGTCTTACCTTTCGGTGCCCAGTGGCGCCGCTAGCATCGTCAGGAGAACCCGTCGCCGTTTCCGTGAAGGATCGATCGCTTTGCTCTTCAACAATTTGAATTAGGTTCTGATCCACGTTCTCAGTCTTGCTTCTCTCTCTCTCTCTCTCTCTCCACCTTTTAGAATCCTCGATCCGGGGCTGCCATCCCTCCGGTGAGGCGAGGGTCTGGCCATCTAGTGGCTGGATGGGCATCCGGAAGTGAAAGAAACACTCGCGCACGCACGATCCCGTCTCACATTCCGGTGCACCGTGGCAGGGGACAACCTCCAAAACGACGTCGCCTTTGACTACGGGGTGTGGAAGACAAGCACTCGGACAATTTGTCGATCACTCTTCTAATAAAATCGTCCCATATCCCGCCCTCTCTCTGCGTCTGCCCCCCCCCCCCCCCCCCCCCCCAGATCATCGATTGCATTCCTGACAGAGCCGCATCCCCAAGGCCAAGCCACACACGGACAAGCAGCAGCGAAATCATGTCTTTCAGACGGGCACCTCTCGTGAGCCTCGCTCTCACGCTGTTGCCGTTGGTTGTGGCTGACGACCACCCCTACGTCGCCGATTCAGTGTGCGACTGCTACTTGACCAACTCGTCAGAGAGCTACTTCAGCAACCACTTGTTCTTCGACTTCCGCAACCTCGGTCAATACGCCGGGGTCCCAGATGCCCTCACTGACTGGGATGCGAGCGCCAACGCAAACACAACATCCGACTACTTCAACTCGGACGCATGGAACGCGATATGGGGTATCCAGAACTGGAACAACACGGATCGCAAGGGGAAAGACGGCAACGATGCCACGGTCAACATGGTCAACTCGCCCAACAACATTTACATTGAAAAGAACAACGACAAGGACGCGACCTCGGATACCTTCATGAGCATGCGCACCGTCCGCTTCGAAGACTTCCAGTCCTCGGCCGAGATGGAGTCCGTCTCCATGGGCTACCACTTCGTCTCGGTTCGCATGCTCGCCCGCACCCTCGGTGACCCGGGCGCCTGCACGGCGCTCTTCACCTACCGCGAGGCCGACAAGTACGCCGACGTGCAGGAGGCCGACATCGAGGTGCTGACCAAGGACCCGGACGACCGCATCCAGTACACCAACCAGCCGTCGTTCGACTCGAGCGGCAACACCATTGACAAGTCGACGCAGAACGGCACCATGCCCCGGGGCACCTCGTGGCGTGACTGGGCCGTCCACCGCCTCGACTGGGACGCCAAGGACAGCACCTGGCTCGTCGACGGGTCCGAGACGTCGAGCATCGCCTTCCAGGTGCCCCGCGACCCCAGCCGCGTCATGCTTAACTCGTGGAGCGACGGCGGGTCGTGGTCTGGCATCATGGAGGTCGGGCACTCGGCCGTCATGCAGATTCAGTGGATCGAGATGGTTTTCAACTCGACAGAGTCGTCTTCGAAGCGCGACGTCCTCGACAAGAGCTACCACCAGGCCGGGCTCGGTCCCAGAGGTCACCTGGACCGCCGCCGCGGCGAGGGCAAGTGCCAGATTGTGTGCAGTATCGATTCGTCTGCCACCATTGGCGAGGCTGTGATGCTGCATAATGGTACGGCGCCGGGCCAGCTTCTGGGACAGTCGAGCGCCATGGCTTTCTGGGTGCCTGTGGCGTTGATGTCGGCCATGTTTTACCAGTTGTGGGCGTGATGTTGCATCACAGACATGGGGCGTTTACATCTGATTCCTACTAGCATAGCAACGGGGTTTAAACCTGGGATTTATCCAGTATTACAATTACACATACTTTGAAGCTTATTCGGGATATGCTCATCGTGAATCCCTTGACATAGGTGCCATGTGTTAGGGAAAGTCAAGCGGGAGCTTTGGAGTGGTCAGCTTTGGAGTGGTCAGCTTTGGAGTGGTCAGCTTTGGAGTGGTCAGCTTTGGAGTGGTCGGATCAAGCACCCAGAGCTCGACCCCTGTAAACCAGCACCAACGCGCGCCGCGACGTGCCTTGTACAGTGGGACAACCCCAGTACACCCATGCCACACACACAGGCAGGTGCAGGATGTGCCTCGGTCCCAATTGGACGTGGGACAATTCGATGGACCCTTGGCTGCAGCTCAACCTCCCTCTCAACAATCTCTCCCAGAAGGCATCCATCTGCAAAATACCTACCCTCTCGCCATCACCACCGGCACAAACGATTGAACCTCCCACCGCATCGCACACATACACCCGAAAGCTCAAACAGCCAGTTTCAATCGCACACAAGCAAACAATGGCCGACAGCGCAGGAGTCCCGAAGCCGCAGCGGCGACCGTCCTCCCCGCTCAAGAACGGCTACCTCATCGCCTACAACTTCGTCTCCGCCGTCGCCTGGGCCACCGTCCTCGGCCGCACCGTCGCGCTCTTTGCCCTCCGCGGTCCGCATTTCGTTCATCTCGGCGTCGGCGACTGGACGCGGTGGACGCAGAGCATGGCTGCCATGGAGGTTCTGCACGCCTTGCTCGGTTCGTTTGGACCCTTTCCCTTACACTCTTACACTCCCTTGCGTTTGCTCTCCTACCCCGTTCTACCTGAACCCGAGAGGAGAGCAGAGGAAAGGAATAAACCCATGGAATAAAAAGCTAACATGCCCCTTCCCGCACAGGCGTCGTCCGCGCCCCCGTCTTCACGACCGTAATGCAAGTCCTCTCCCGCTTCGTCCTCGTCTGGGGCGTCGTCTACCCCTTTCCATACCTCGCCCGCAGCCCGTGGTACTCGTCCATGCTCCTCGCCTGGAGCGTCACCGAGGTGATTCGCTACTCGTACTTCGCCCTTACCCTCAGCGGGTTCCAGCCCAAGTTTTTGACGTGGCTGCGGTATAACACGTTCTTCGTGCTGTACCCCATCGGCATCACGAGCGAGTGCGTCTTGATTTACTACGCTGCTGCGCCGGCTAGGCAGTTTGGGGAGTTGGTGCCGTGGGTTTCGTATGCTATTCTTGCTGTTTATGTTCCTGGTATGTTGTCTTTTCTGTTCCCCTGCCTTTGTTTATGGGTGTGACTATGAGGAGGGAGTGCTGACGACGGAATAGGATCGTATATTCTTTACACGTACATGATGAAGCAGAGAAGCAAGGTTATGCGCAACTTGAAGGCCGAGGAGGCGGGCCGCTCCAAGACGCAGTAACTTCCTTCAACTCGGGAAGAGAAAGAGGGGGGTGAAATCCAAAATTTAGGTGTGGTATAAGGACTATATAATGGTCGAGGGTATGGTTATAGACAAAAAAGAGAAGAAGAGGATGGGCGTCTAAAAAATTTCGTCCTTACTCCAGAAGCCGTAATAATAGAGAGAACATGAAATAGCACAGTCTTTCAAGCGGTAGCACTCTCGCCCGCCTCCTTGATGGCGAGCTTGTCTTCCTCGCTGGACTCGTACCACTCGTTTCGCGTCCACTGGGCGATGAGATTTGCGGCGTCCTCCTTGAGTTTATCGTACCCCGGGTTCATCTTGGGTTCGAACATGTCTAGGCAAGTCCAGTCAGCAAAAACGACGATAACTTACGTCCATGACCTTGAAGACTCGGGTTTCCACAACGTAACTTGGGTTTCTGCAAAAAAAAAAAAAGGGGGGGGGGGGGTTCCACTCACTCATATGCGCCTGCGTCTCCTCCGTAGCAACATCATTCACAGCCTGCCTCCACATCCCCCCATTATCCCGCTTCGGCAGGTTACAAAACGTCCGGTCCCTACCAAGCACCGTGCCGACGACGCTGACCTCCTTCGACCCCGCGGCCTTGCCGAGACGAGTATACAAATTCGCGAAGCCAACGTCGAGCTCGCCGTTGAGCTTGACCATGTACTGCATCCTCTTCTGCAGCTCCGCGCCCTTTGCGAGACACCCCACGAACTCGAGGTGCGATGTCGCCCAGCTCAGGCCCTGGGTGATGTGTTCCCGGTTGTAGTACGCCGCGCCGGCGCTCGCTGCCACGGCGGCGGCGGAGCCTGCTACCATTGCGATTTTGCCCCATCCCCATCCACCTTGCTGTGAGGAGTTTGCCGTTGGCGGAGCGGGAAGAGCGGCGACGGGGGCCTTATTCCTAGATGGCGACGGCGAAGTAGCTTGCTTGGCACCCCAGAGCGCGGTGCCGAGGCCGCTGAGCTGCGTCATGGCGGCGTTGGCGGTGTTGTAGTGGCCCTCCGCGCCGTGGGCGACGACGCCGGGGGAGATGCCTAGGTACGGTGTGTCGAAGGCGATGACGCCCTGGATGTAGGGGAACATGAGGCTGTTGAAGGTGGCGGAGGAGGAGTCGAGCTCGGGCTTCTCGACGCCGTCTTCCGAGTAGATTGGTTTTTCCGAGGTGAGGCCTATTACGGTCTCGGCGGCGACGATGCCGCCCATGGAGTGGCCTGCTAGGACGACGCGGACGGAGGGGTCTACTGTTGGTGAGGGGGTGTTGTTTGCGACTTCTAGGTCGATTACTTTTTCTAGGAGCCTATGGTGGGGTGTGTCAGCGGGGAGTATTGTCTGTGATGAGATGAGGGGAGGGAGGGAGGGAGGATGGAGAGTTACCAGTCGCGGAAGCGGCTTACGCATTCGCCTAGGTCGCCGCGCGTCTCATATTTGGGATATACGAGGACGTTAACATTGATCTTTGGGAGGAGGGCGGCGAGGTCTGCTTGGAGTCGTGCTGTGAAGCCTTCCTTGTCGCCAAAGGTGTCGTCACCTCCCTGTGCGGATATGTTAGGGATCGGAAGTCATAGAATGGGCATGGAGTTACGTACTTTGAATCCGTGGATGAAAACTATGAGTAATGTCTTCTTCATTTCGTGTTTTTGTTGTAAGTTACATGAGTGAGAGTGAAGGTTGCGAACAACTATGCGATGTCGTTAATGATCTGGAGCTTGGAGCTTGACGTCTGTGCACAGTGTTGAGACAGTGCACATGCACATGGTACCGCCAGTGTCCCGCCTTGCCACCCCACCACATCTCCAGTGACAACATCCCTCCGTCCCTCTCTCTCTCCATATCCTCCCTTGGGAAAAGCAACCTCCACTGGCTTACACCGGAACAATTGAGCTTTCCACATGACCACCACAGTGCCACGACGAGGGGTTTCTAACAAGTATCTCGATCAAGTGATTTGAAGTAGTATTTAAAAGTCAGCGCTTACCCCAAAAGTAGAGTAGGAATTATTTTCCCATGTCGGATACCCATACATAACACTCATCTCATCTACTGGTTGTGGTTCCTATATCGAGGTCAACATCAACATCGCAAGGTTATGAGCCAGGAATCAAACATGACTGGCTTTTTGCTGTCCTTTTCCGCCTTGAATCCAAAGCCTGTCACGCCGGGTCTGCTCATTGGTTCATCAACCCGCAGGCAACCAGGCGTGCCCGCCGCAGTTGCTGAGGCTGAGCGAGCTGCATGATCTCACGTGGGGTTTGTCCAACTTCGGGTCGCCAGCAATCCGGCTTATGTCGTAGTCACTCTCTGTCGAAAAATTATCCTCTACCAACTTGTGAATCACTATCAACACGCACATCTTTGACGACATGCGACTTCTGAACGTTAAAACGAGAAAGTTACAAGAATTCTTCGTCAAGCGGGCCCCCTTATGTAATATTATCACATACCTGGAACGAGGACGAGGTCACCTTCCAAGATCTTGACGACCCTGACCACACCAAGAAGCGAGGCTATGCCAAAATCGACGGTCTCTGCTGCCTGGCGGCCCAAAATGGCTATCAATGGGTGTGGGTTGACACTTGCTGCATCGACAAGACGAGCAGTGCTGAGCTCTCCGAGGCTATCAACTCCATGTATCAGTGGTACAAAGATGCCTCTATCTGCTATGTTTACCTAGAAGATGTTCATCCAGGCGATGACCCGAGCAGCTTCGACAGCCAATTTGGCAACAGTCGATGGTTCACTAGAGGCTGGACGTTGCAGGAGCTTCTCGCCCCCAGAACAGTCGAGTTCTTTGATGCTGCCTGGAGGGAACTTGGCAGACGTTCTTCTCTGGCGCCGAAAATCGAGTCCATCACCAGTATACCGGCCTACTTCCTGAGATTCAATCCCTACTCAGCTTTTCGCGACACCGAGATCGCTGTGAAGATGTCGTGGGCCGCTCGGCGGCAGACGATGAGGGTGGAGGACAGAGCATACTCTCTTCTTGGTATATTCGATGTGAGCATGCCGCTGCTCTATGGCGAGGGGGAACGGGCTTTTGAGAGGCTTCAGATCGAGATTATGAAGCAGTCTTCCGACGATTCGATACTCGCATGGGCATGTCAGGGCGAGGGCAAGCCGAAGCCGACCAATTTCCCTTACGAGGAAGATTACTTGTTATTCAGCATCAACAGGGAAGAAAGGGCGTTGGCCCAGTGCCCTGATGAATTTGTCTGGTGGAGATCAAACCGGGCTGTGGATTTCTATGAAAGAAGCGCCTCCAGCACGGAGATGACAACCCGCGGTCTGCGTAGTCCGCTTTGTACCTTCTTCTCTCTCGAGTTACATCCTCCGCCGTTTGTCTGCTACACCATACCCATGCCAAAAGGAGAGGAACTGGAACAACTCGTATCAGACAGCCAGCACGAACAGTTTCCCTGGCGGAAGCTCCTTGCGGAACATTGCGACTTGTCAAAACTCAGAAACAATTTCTCACTGAAAGCTGGCGTCCCTCAGGTTAGGATTCAACGAGAAAAGTTCTTCGGTCAGGAGTGGTTCCTTATCAAAATCTTCTACACTAAGTCCGTGGCCCAATATGCCACGTCCATCGCCAGGACCATCACGAATCTGCGCCCGCAATGGACTTATGGCTTGCACCCCCGAGCCTTACTTCTGATGATCGATGTCTTCGTCGGTTTAGTTCCTTATGTTGCCTGGGATCTGAACAGAGAAAGATGCACGGCCAGCTGGAAAGAAATCGTCATTTGTTACGGCCTAATGCTGCTGAACGGCCTCCTTCGCTACAAAGTTTATTCAATACTTTTTCCCTTGCGGATGACGCAATGCCCGGACGAGACTGACTTTGAATGCAAAACGGTAGACCTGCTCTTTGCAGCTTTGGTTCCCTTTGCAATGTACACATTCTTGCCTGGTTCTCGAAAGGAGTCCAGAATCAACCCGCTGGCTTCGGTGTTATACTCGATGGCGATTATCGCAATGGCGAGGCGTGGCCAAAAGTTCTTAAGGAAGTCGTGAGAGGGTTCTGCGGCAGAAGATGTGGACAGCCCGGTGTCGGAGACATGCTCACCCCAAACGCGGGCTTCATCTCTTGATACGCCAGGGGATAGCGTCGAGGGCTGTTTGGAATAGTTTCGCTGCAGTACACAAGCAGTTCAACAGTGCTGGAACCGCGAGCTTATTCCATTTTTCTCACTCTTGTCACAAGGCATTCGTTTACATTTGGCCTGTATGTTGCGGTACTTTCGCCCAAGCTTGATTGAAATCACTCCATTAAGTGACGAGGACCAGTCAATGCAGCCTGTCTGCTTTGAAGATGACTTTGAATCCCCAGGTAAAATGCAGTTCAAAGTGTTTTCCGAAGGGCCTAAGACTCCCCTTTTCTGAGAGCAGATGTATCGACATCAAATGGCAGGAAGACTTAAAGAGACGGGATGCTTGAAATATCGAGCAATCCGATTCAACTCGCTTCTAAACATTGACTACTAAATTCGATTTGCCGTTTTCGACTACACTAGTACGTGGCCGTCAGCCTCTGCACGAGATACTGCCCGCTGTTGATACCATCGTATTTCTTCTCCTCCTCCGTTGCATACGTCCCCGGGATAGCCTCGATTTGACTCTTGAAGTTGGGGTTGCAAAAGTACCTAATCATTATCGTTAGAACGTCAAAAGCTTCAAGAACAGGCAACACGGTCACTCACGCAATGCTGTATCGGGGAGGATACTCCGTCCCGTCCTCCGGCTTCCGCGGCGGCTCCACGACACGGTGAATCGTGCTCTTGATGGTATCATTACTCCACCGCGCAAGCAAATCCCCAGCATTCACAACAACCGTCCCAGGAATCGGCGTGGCGTCCACGAACCGACCATTCGGACTCCGCACCTGCAATCCCCCACGATCATCCTGGAACAGGAGTGTAATCGACCCGTAATCACTGTGCTCTCCAGCACGCACCTGGCCCGGGTTCACCTTGAAGACGTTGGGGTCGACGGAAGGGTAATGCAGCAGACGCAGCGTATTATCCCCAACGTCAGTATACCCATCAAAGAACCGCTCGTCCTCCAACCCCATACCCACCGCAATTGCGCGCATCACCTCGACGTGCAGTGCCTTACACTGCCCAAAGAACTCGAGCATCTGCGTCTTGAACCCCGCAACGCGCTCGCCGTCCCGCTCGACGGGCCACTGGTTCGGGTGGTCCGGCTCGCCGTCGCGGCCAATCTCAAAGCTCTCCTTGAGGTCTGGGTTCCCCGCGCGCACCTTTTCGATTTCCTCGTTGGTGGTGAGGTTGCTGACCTTTTCGCGGCCCGGGGCGGAATAGCCGCGGTTGGCCTGCGGGGTGGTCCAGCCGAGGCCTTGCTTGACGGCTTCGTCTTGGGCGAAGAAGTCTGCTGATTTGGCAAAGGTGGCGGCGCGGAGGTCTTGGCTGATGGGGACGTTTTGGAGGTAGATGAAGCCTGCGTTTTGGAAGCCGTCGAGGACTTGTTTTGCTGTTTCTTTGCGCTTGGCGGCGTCGCCGTTGAGGAAGGCTGAGAAGTCGATGAGCTGACTTTGGTGTCAGTTGGTGATGCTTGAGGCGATTAGGATGTTGTGTCACTGATGTCACTCACGGGGATGAAGAGACCCTCCTTGTCTACTGCTGTAGCTGCCATGATGAGTTGCTGTTGCTTTTCACTGAGTTGAGAGATGATGGATGAGAGATTCAGAGGTGGACGTGTCAGTTGAGACTTGGGAGCATCACATGTATCAGAGGTGTAATCTCGAGTAAGAAGTCACGATAAGGTTAGTTACTAAAATCCGTGCGGTACAGGTTCCGAGCGACTTATATCTATCCGTCGATTACGGTAGGTTGTCTAGGTACCTTGACGGCGGCCCAGCCAACCAGAGGCCGAGCATTAACATCGTAAGTTAACAGCCAACCACCGGCGCCGTCTAATCAGTTCCGGACGGGGCCAGGCGTTGCCCCTTGTTGATCCCCGGCCAGGACGGGGCGTTACGGGAAGAAACATCAGAAGGAACCCTTTAACAAGACCGGCTGGGTCCGCGGGTGCACGAGTGGGAAGTTCATCGGAGAGCTCCTACACGTTATACTTATGTGTAAGCAGTACCTCGTCAGTGTCTCAGAGGGGGGGGGGAAGGGAAAGTCTGACGATAAGAAGCCGGTGGCGCGTTAAAGGCCGGCGCGCGGAAAGACGATTGGAGATAACGGCGGGGCAAAGTAGAAAAATAATCGACAAGGTCCTTGGAGACGCCCGCGTGTGGGGTTTTGTGAGGTATGCGGTGCATTGAGGCGTTTGCATATGAGGGGGACATGGATTGGAGGGGGAACCAGGCGCTGCGGGTCATGGCGACCTCATCACCTTCCTGGAAAGACGTAGTTTGTCGGGTAACTGGTACTTACTTTTTTAAAAGGAAGACGAGGGGCAACACCAGCTTTGCTTGCTCCTGGGAAAGTTTCCAACTTGGGAATTGACCACAACAATAAGATCGTTTTCTTTTCCTGTTCCTGGATTGCAGAAGAAGTAAGCTGGAATCTCTCTCCATCTTAACTAGTAGTGAGCCTCTTCATCTTGTAAGTCAACCTAGCATCTTGAGTTTGAATCTCCAAAGCCGAACCACTGGCTAACATCAAGAAGACCAATCACCAAGATTGTACCCTGGGTCATCTCACCACCAACTCCAAGTGAAGACGAAGGTAGTAAAGGGACGCCATCTGCTCAGCCGATTTCACAATGGCCTCATCAACACCTATGACGGTGGTGGACATCCACACTCACATGTACCCCCCGTCCTACGTCAAGATCCTCGAATCTAGAACCACCATTCCCGTCGTGCGCAGCTTCCCGCAAACACCAGACCCGCGTCTCATCCTCCTGGCCTCGGAGGAACAAGCCCTGGATGAGGCCACCAAGGATCCTTCAGCGAAGCCTCCCGGTCGGCCGCTGACCTCCCACTACGCCTCGCTCGACCAAAAGGTCCACTTCATGGACACGCACAAGATCAACATCTCCGTCATCTCCTTGGCAAACCCGTGGCTCGACTTCATCGACGCCTCCGAGTCCGGCGCCATGGCCAAGGGCGTCAACGAGGAATTCGACGGTATGTGCGCCGCGCACCCGGGCCGACTCTTCTTCTTCGCCGCTCTGCCCCTGACGGCACCTCTCGAGACCATCCTGGAGGCCATCAACCACGTCAAGTCCCTCAAGTACTGCCGCGGCATCATCCTCGGCACCTCGGGGCTGGGCAAGGGCCTCGACGACCCGGAGCTGCTGCCCATATTCAAGGCCATCGCCGCCGCTCGCCTGACCATCTTCTTGCACCCGCACTACGGGCTGCCCAACGACGTCTGGGGCCCCAGAGCAAGCAACGAGTACGGCCACGTGCTGCCCCTGGCCCTGGGTTTCCCGATGGAGACCACCATCGCCGTGGCGCGCATGTACCTGGCCGGCGTCTTCGAAGACGTGCCCGAGCTGCGCATGCTCTTGGCGCACAGCGGCGGCACGCTGCCCTTCCTGGCGGGACGAATTGAGAGCTGCGTCATGCACGACGGGCAGCTCGTGCGCGAGGGCAAGGTTGGTAAGGGGCGGAGGACGATTTGGACTGTGCTCAAGGAACAGATCTACCTCGACGCCGTCATTTACTCAGAGGTCGGGCTGAAGGCGGCCATTGATGCCAGTGGGGCGGATAGGCTCATGTTCGGTACTGATCACCCCTTCTTCCCGCCGTTGACCTCTGATGAGCAGGGCGAGTGGGAGAGTGTGAGCATGAACGCCGATGCCGTTGCTGTGGCGGTGGGCGAGGGTAGTGACCAGGCCAAGGCCATTATGGGCGGTAATGCGATTGAGATTTTGAGATTGAAGGTGGATTGAACAAGTAGCTTTGAAATGAAAAGAAAAGAAACTTGAAAGTCATGAAAGTCAGTGACACATGGAAATGAATTGAAAGCAAGCGAATCTCATATGAGAATTGGCCGAAGTGGGTGAGTGAGGCTGACCGCTTTCCTGAATTGGCCAGATCTGGTTGAAGTTACCTACACCGCCTTCCATATTCCACCTCACATACCACTTTCTGCCGGCATTTATTGAAAATATGGCAATTGGCCCCGCGATGTAGCTTCATCCCGCATCTCATCCTTACACACTCAGGCTCATCAATTCATCCGAGTTTTGCGTCTTTTTGCTCGAGAACACAATCCAATACCAATTAGCTACCAAAAAGGACCATCATGGCGGTTGAAGTCCGCCGTTCCAACGGCACGCGCCTCGATGCGTCCCTAGGCATCACTGAGCGCATCGCGCCGAGCATGGTCGCTTGGACTGGAGATATGCGCAAGAGGTAAGTTTTCTGGCCGCATCATAAGTCTTCTTTATTAACACAACTGCCCAGATATACCGACTTCCAAGTCTACGAAATCAATAAAGATGGATCCGTCCTCCACCTCACAGAAACCCGCCTTCCCGCGCCGCCAAAGGAGAACACGCCGCCTCCACCAGCACCTACTCCTCCTGCTGCCCCCGTAGTGGAGGAGAAGAAGGAAGAGGAGCCGAAACCAGAAGAGCCATCGCAAGACGGAGAGGCCGTCGAGAAGCCCGCCCCTGTCATCCCCGAAGTCCCCGCCGAGGACATCGCCCTCATCGCCTCCCTCACAAACGACGACTTCGCCAACCACCTCGTGACCATCTATCAGACGATATCCGCCGACAGGACGGCCAAGACTGAGCCCGTCACATCCCCCGTCATGGACGACAAGGACAAGCGCTCCCAGCTCCACCAAAACGTCCGCCGCATCTTCAATTCCACCATCGACACCACCACCGATCCCACGGGCGCCATCGTCGCTCGAGTCCCTCCCCCTCGCGGCAAGGGCAAGGGCATGCGCGGCGGCCGCGACAACAACCGTGAGAACAACAAGCAAAAGAAGAAGCAGCCCAAGGCCGTCGCCCCCGGCGAGGGCGAGTACCTCCACTTTACCCTCTACAAGGAGAACCGCGACACCATGGACGCCCTGCACCAAATTTCCAAAGCCCTCCGCATCAAACCCCAGGCCATCGGCACGGCAGGCACAAAAGACCGCCGCGCCGCCACCACGCAACGCTGCTCCGTCCGTGGCCAGCGCGCCGACGCCCTCCTCCGCGCCCGCCTGTTCGGCGTCACCGTCGGCGACTACCGCTACGCCCAGTCCCCCATCCACCTCGGCGCCCACAGGGGCAACGAGTTCGTCATCGCCCTCAAAGACTGCCTCGTCGCCGGTAACCCCGACCTCCCACCGGCCGACCGCTCCTCTCAGATCCGCGCCTCCGTCGAGGTCGCCATGGCGAGCATGCACAACCCGGGCTGGATAAACTACTTCGGCCACCAGCGCTTCGGAACCCACGCCGTCGGCACCCACGAGGTAGGCCGCCTCCTGCTTCAAGGCGACTTTGAAGCCGCCGTCAACGCGATCCTCTACTACGACGAGGCCATTGCCCAACGCGCCCTCGCAGGCGAAGTCCCGGACCAAGGCCACGCCCGCGACGAGCTGAACCGCCACCGCGCCTGCAAGGTCTTCCGCGACGGCGGCTCCGCAGAGGAAGCCCTCTCCCACCTGCCCCGCCGCTTCTCCGCCGAGGCGTCCCTCATCCGCCACCTCGGCCGGTCCACCGCCCCGTCCCGACGAGACTTCATCGGCGCCCTCACGAGCATCACCCGCGGCCTGCGCAACATGTACCTCCACGCCTACCAATCCTACGTCTGGAACCACGCCGCAAGCCACCGCTGGCGCCTCCACGGCAAGACCGTAGTCGAAGGCGACCTCGTCCTCGACTCTCCCACCGACGAAGACAACGAACTCGACGACGCAGACTCCTCCTCCGCCCCAGCCCGCGCCCTCACCGCAGAAGAAGCCGCCTCGGGAACCTACACCATCCACGACATCGTCCTCCCCTCCCCAGGCCACGCCGTCGCCTACCCCACCAACGCCGTCGGCGACTTCTACACCACCTTCATGCGCGACAACGGAAACCTGAACCCGCACGACATGCTCCGCCGCCACCGCGAATTCAGCCTGCCCGGCGCGTACCGCAAGGTCGTCGTGCGCTTCCTCTCGGAACCTAGCTTCGAGGTCCGCGCGTACGAGGACGACGAGGAGCAGATGCACCCCACCGACATGGACCGTATCCGCGCCGCCGCCGCCGCCGGTGCTGGGCGTAGTGGGAAGAAGCGGGGCCGTCAGGAGGGAGAAGAGGCCGGCGAAGAGCAGGATGCGGCGAAGAAGGTCAAGACCGAGACTGAGGCCGTGACGGATGTGGCAGTGACAGTGACAGTGGCAGAGGGCGAGGCCAAGGCGGATGAGCAGATGCAAGATGCGCCAAAGCAGACCGAGGAAACGAAGCAGCAGTCAGAGGCTACCAACGACTCGAACGGTACCCCGTCGTCCCCCGAAAAGACAAAGACGGCTGTTGTAGTCACCTTCCAGCTACCAAAGAGCGCCTACGCGACCGTCGCGCTGCGGGAACTGATGGGCGTCGACGAGTCCGAGGTCGCTGCGGTTCCTTTGGCTGCCCCTGTCCCTGAGGCTGGTGATGCTACTACCACTGATGCTGCGGCCCCTGCTCCTGTCGTCACTGAGACTGCCGGGGTCCCAGAGACTTCCGAGATTACGGCTCCGGAATCATGAAATACCTCACAAAAGGAACGCATCCACAAGAACAAGACACAAAAACAAAGGCATCACCGGCTCAAAAGGTGATCTACTTGGCATGTAAATGGTTGTAGACTAGATACCCCCGTCGGAGAGAAGAAATTCGTTGAATCGAGCATATATATACAATGCCACCTGGAAGCCAACCCTTCTCTCTCCCCAGCACACCTCAGTCTGATCCCTCGGCCATGAAGAAAAATAAGTGTAACCCCCAATCAGCATCGGCAGAATCTTTTTGTTTGTATTGCTCCAAACCGAACAGGCAATCGCTTGGATACACAATAATGCCTACAGTCTTCGCTGAATACCCGACCGCCGCCGCTTGTCCAGGTACATGTCTGCCTCGGCTACATATATCCAGAAAGTAAATCTGACCCCCTGAAGGCGTAACATTGGCAATCCTGTGCCCGTATGCCCGTCGCTTATTAAATCATGAAAAATGGCCTCCTTCTTCCGCTTGCTTCATCGCTACAGAGGTGTCTCCCTTTGAACTTGGTTCTTTGTTCATGTTTCGCTTGTGGTGTGTTTTGACGCTTTCCTCGGTAGCTGTCATGATCCTCCCGTCAAGGGGCAACAATGTCCTTTGGCTGCTTTGCCATTCATGGGTCGCCGTGTTTTCGCCGAATGGCACAATGTTACTGTTGAGCGCATCGCCACGGCATTGTGACCATCAGCCAATCATTGCTTGGTATCCCAGCCCCAAACCTGAGCAAGGTATTTGGCCATGTTGACACGCTTCGCGCGCATTTCCACCATCCACGGATGCTCGAGCATCCGCCATGGGCTCGCTCTCCTGGTAGGTTCCTTCTCCAGGCTTTGGCTGGTCAGCACATGATCTCACATTCGCCCAGACTCTTTATCACTTACCAGCACTCGATGAAATACTTGAAGTTATCACTCCAGAAAATGTTGGCATCCGGCTCGTTCTTGAGCTTTGGTATCGGCTGCCGCACAATATAGGTGAGTAGGTCGATCAAGCCAGCTCGTGGCTGCATCTCTGTGCCGTCGGCCGGGAAGGGGAATCGATGTTGCGCCACTTCCAGCAGTGTCACGCCAGTCGACCACACGTCAGAGGTGATGGTGTAGGATTGACCGGTGATACGCTCCGGGGCCATGTAGTAGCTGGTTCCGATGAAGGTATTGGCCTCTCCCTTGGTACCAAAGTCTCCTGAGACGCCAAAGTCGCATAGCTTAACGTCGCCATTCCTGCAAAGCAAAATATTGGATGGCTTGATATCTCGGTGGATGATGCGCATGCCGTGCAAGTACGTCAGTCCCCGCAAGACGCCCTCGGAAATCTTGCCGAGGACTTTCTCACCCGTCCGGCCGCCGAGCTTCTTCACCTCCTTGTAAATACTGTCCAAGGAACCACCCTCGCAAAATTCCATGGCGATTGAGATCGTTCCCGTAGTCGAGTCCTCAAAGGCGCCATAGTAACGGCAGATATGCTCCGACGCGCACTCTTTGTTGAAGCCCAACTCACGCACAATCTGCTTCTTGACGTCGGGATCGGGATTTGTGGTAATGACCTGGGCATGTTAGTCTCCAAAAAAAAAAAAAAATCTTTTTCGGTATGGGAAATGAAGCATTCGCACCTTGAGGGCAAATGTGGTCTTTCCACCCTTCAATTTGGCTTTTGTAACGGCTCCGCCGGCACCTTCGCCGAGACTACCGAGCTCCTCAATCCGGTTTTCCATACTCGCGACCCTCCACGACTCGGAGTCGAGCTCCTCCACATCCAGCGTCCTGCCCCGCTCTAATGACAGCTTGTCAAAAGCTTCGAGACCCTGCAAACTGCCATCTCGTTCCATCCCAACACCGCCTTCGCTCCGCTCAGAGTAGATCGAGCCCACGGCGGACGACGGGTCGGGGGTGCCTTGGGGCCGTGCAAAGCCATATTGTGAGGCAAAGGACAACGCCGAGTACTGAGAGCCAGCTGATGTGGGGTTGCTAGCTCGACCATCCAGGGGGCCGAAGCTTCCAGATCTCGAGTGTGCCGCACTGCTCTCGCTACCGCCACTGGCAGATTGTCCTACGCCTCCCACGCGCGGTGGTTGCTCATACGGTGTTGACTGACTGCCCATGGGCGTAGCCAGGTGAAGGGTCGGGAGAGGTGGTCGTGAGTTTACGGGTTTCGCATTTGGTGATGGAGGAATGGCGAGACCGAGTCTCGGTGTTCGAGCACCTCCGCCTCGGCCGCCGGGGATGGCAGGGCGAAGGAGAGGAACTGGCGAGTTCATCATGGGAACGGAACCAGGCGTGGATAGGGCGGGAGAGGGGACGCTGGGCGGTGCCTACGTGGAACAATCAGTACGGTTCACGATAGAGGCCAGCTCGGGGACACATCATGCGAGCATGCTTACCTGGTGAGGAGGCTCCATGGTTTGAGGTTGTGAGGGATTCTGATCGGCCATGGCAGCGAGGGTGTTGGGCAGACCAGAATGATGCAGTTGGAGCTGGAGAGAGTTGTACCCCAAACGTAGGATGCCACAAAGTTGCCAAAAAGGGCCGAAGCCAAGCCAAACTACTTGACGAGTGTAGGTCGAGGTGTGACGACTGCGGCACTGAGCACGAGCAAAAAAATAGAAACTAGCGTGGTCGAATAGCTTCGTAGGAGGAGCTGACGTAGTATAGATGGAGTTGGAGAGCGACGCCGTCGAGCGTTTGATCCTCTGGTTCGAGGCTGAGTAGATAATAATGCTATCGGGGCGTGTCGTTGAAGATCAGAAGGCTTGGAAGCGAGAGACTGGAAAGTAAAGCGTCGTTGGCGGATAGCTTTCCCCGCAGGACTCAGGAGATCGATATTGAGGTGGGAGAGAGTAGTTTTGGGGTGCGCAGGTGACGTGCCGGTACCCAAGGTAAGGCAGGTCGAGCAGGCGATATGGATCGAGGTGGTAGTTCCTGGTCTGTATCAGAACCGGGGGACGGAAGAAGGGGGTTTCCTGCTGTTTTTCCTCGGGTTGAAGGGACCGGCTTTGATGTTGAGCAGACCGGAGAGAGGGGAGCAGCAATGCAAGAGCAAACGACGCAGTGGCGACGGGTGAGCCCAAGGACCTTGGTTTCCTTTTGAGAAAGACGGCAGGAAGTGAGTGAATGGAGTGGGATTCAAGTGGGCAAAAAAGGCGGGGAGCGGCGGGACGGGGACGAGCTTGGGCGCTAATTCCAAGGCCAAGTTCCAATGGAAAACGGGGAGGGGGCAGCTGGGTAAACTGGGGGCCTTTTTTCAGTCACTCAGGGCCTGATGAATGCACTGGGTGCCTGGGCGAGGCCATTTTCCGTGTGGATGCTGGCTACCTACCTTGGTCCTTACTGACCTGAGGTGGAGGAGGTAAGGCAAGGAAGGTATTGAGATGGGAGGAGGTACAACGCACACGGAATGGAGCAAATGTATCTTTTCTTGATGGCGCACTCTTGATGTGGTGTACAATGCGGGGCAGCTACACAAAGCAGCCGGATTTGAGCCTTCTCAATCGTGTACCTTTTCGATACTGTAAACCACCTCACCTCTTGGTACCTAGCGAATCTTGCCTTACCACCTACCTTACCTAAGGTAAGGTACCCTGCCTTACACATTTCCATCCGTCTTCAACTCGCACCTACACGAACGACAGAAATGCACGAACAACGACGAAAAAGTCAATCAACAGATCATTCGAAGCTGCGCCGAAGAAACTGAAGTGCGCTCGGCCGCTTCTTTTAAACCCTTCCAGCGTCTTGAGGCAGAAAATCGCGCCACATTACGGGAGTCCCTTGCGTCGTCTGAGGTTCTGGCCTTCCCCAATTCGGTATTTTCCACCATGAGAATCGGCCCTGGGGTCTGGACTTTGGACTTCTAGACTCTGAATCGCATTGGAGACGACAATGGTATCCGTTTACACTCCGTACGCCTACCGCAGTACGGATCCATCATCGAGGCTGTCCACTGCACAAGAGTCAGTCACCATCAACTCGCCTCTGCTCTGCGCGCCTCATGTTTATCCGCATAATCCTCGACTCCAACCGAATAAGGACTGTTCGACGGACACGCGAAAAGACAAAGCCGATGCCGTTGTTCCGAACCGACCGTTACAGGGCATCCGTCATCAGGACGCGTGTTTGACCACAAATCAAGAAATGTATACACCTCGTCACCGCCCAACACAAACAATACCGACACGGTACACCACCTCCAAACAGTCATTCTCTCCAGCACAAAGCACGGTGTGACGAGTGGGCTTCCAACCGTGACCACAGAGAGCAGCTCTGCCCACTCGGAACGCCCATCTCCTAGCGCTGCACAATGGACAATGGGCAGACGCTGGGCCAGTTACACGCAGCTGTACGGCGACGAAGTTTGAGAGGGCGTCCAGAGCCATGGGGGGGCATGAGAGATGAGACAGGGGTTGCGCTGTCGTTGGTGGTGTGTCGTCCATGTCTTGGGCTGCCATTCGATGCCCTGCCCTGCAAAGATCAATCGCTTCTTGCGGGTTGCTCCCCCCTCTTGGCCCCCCCTCCCCGGCCAAGCACCAAGCATCTCTTGAGTCTTCGTGGGCATGCCGCACGTCGCACGTCGCACCGTCGCACGCACCAAGCTGGGCCCTGCACTGATTTCCGACCGTCTTCTGCATGAGCTCGAGATGCACAATCCGGGAGACGTCCCCGATGCAACCTGACTCTTCTGTCCTTCCAGGGCAATGGACTGGCTGACGGGTGGGACACAAATGTTTGATGACTTGGGAATCTGGCAGGCCATATTCATTGCTCTATTCACTCTCTTCGGGGATTGGCCGCTGCTCTCTCTCCAGGTATTCGAAACCCGAAACCCCTCGGTTGACGACGAGTTTGGTCTGGCTGGCTTTGGGGCCTTGGGCCAATAACTGGCGGGAATAACGAGCCAACGACACTGCTCCCGTCACATTCACATCCTCACACCATCCCCACGGTGTCCCCTACATGACTGCAGCATCACAGAACAGATTAATGCGGGCTGTCGGCAACCAATCTCCATCCGTCCAATTCCTACCATGGCCCCAAGACTCAAGAGGTGTGTCGATGAAACTCGCATAAGCCATTTGACAGCGCCGTTTTGGCTGAAATGGGGGGCTTTTCCGACGGCAGCATCTGAAGGAGACAAGAAGAAGAAGAAACGGGGAAGCACACGGAGCTCTTTTCGGCACATGCTGTTGGATGTGGCTCCTGTATTCGGCACACGTTGACACGGCACATCTGCCGCGGCTTCCAAATCTTTTGGCATTACGACCCCAACAGCGTCGGCATCGCAATCCGTTTGAGCAATTCTAGTCAGCTGACTGCAGACCCAGGCATCGAAAAGGTGGTTGCAGACATGCCGTTCTTATTGCTGTGCCTCTTCCACCGGCGATGCGGCACGAATGGGATGGTTCCCCGATGAGGGGAAAGGCATTTGCAAACAAGCAGCACGCGAGGCCATTGGTGTCCGAATAACGGGAAGGGTTCTGTTCGGTCATAACCCCTTCCTCACCCTCTTACTTCATCGCCGGTCCGACGACGGCGATGAGCCGACAGGCGGCTAAGGTGATGACTGCGATGTTTGATGGGCCACGGATTCGAGGCCTCACCGCATTATCCGCACCGCTGGACCTGGACCCTGATCAGACGAAGGTCCGGTTTTTCAAGGCCCTGCCCCAAAACACCTACGTGGTGTATCGTAGTTGCGTCGTCTTGGTCGGGGGATTCCCGATGCCCACTTTGACTGCCCGAGACGTGTGCCTGACTAGTCGTACCTCTCAATGACCCATTGAGAGTAAGGCAAGATGGAAGCACAACTAAGAAGCAGGCTGACGGCGTAAGTTCTGCTGACGTTGTCCGGCTGCGACCATTCGTCTGTCAAATCCGGGCCATTGGGTCCCAGCTGTGAGGGCAACTCAGAACCAGCAGCATGTCAGACGGGCACGTCCGAGAAGGAGAAATTCAAATCATCCGAGCCCATCTCATTGAGTCAGGTCGTTGGTAAGGCGGGCCTGTATGCATTTGAATGTTAGGAATCGACATCCGGCTTCGATTTGGCTTTGCAGCCCCGCAGTTGGTTCTCCGCGAGAGTTCTTTACATCCACGACGCGTCGGGACCGGATTAATCATCTGACAGACCACAAAGCAAACACGGAGAAAGCAAAGCGGGCGAGTTGTCTGCTCGTCTGCTCGTCTGCTCGTCGGTGTCCGAGGCTCCTGCTCATGCACCAGCTTCCGCATTCGTTCCAAGAACAGATCCCTGGGTCCCGCCAAGGGGCACCAGGCGGAAAATGCGTCGATGCTGGCCCCATCCCTGGGGCGGGAAGCAACGTTATGCTGTCATCAGCCTCAGCCCTGAAAGTTTCTTGGGCTTCTGTGGCTCTTTTCTGCATCGAGCTTGTCCTGGTCAGACACACTTCAACATCGGCTCGACTCATCTTGAGAAAGGCAATGGAAGCATGCTTTTCCTTTTGCCCGACGCACAGATGGTCGAGTCGGAGAGGGAAAGTGGCGTTGTCTACGGATGAAATATGCAGTCAAGAGATGGCAGATGAGGGAAGTTTGGCCGTTCCCGCGTACTCTGATTCTGGCATTTTCACACTACCATACCATTCAGGTTCACTCACGCCGCACGCCGCCCCCTAGGATACCTCTAGGGTGAACAAATTCATCTGGTATTATCACCGAGGCCTATGTCGTGATGGAGAATATCGGCGTATCTGAACGAATAGCTCCGCACACATATGCCCCGGGTTCGTGTCCCGTCTTCTTGTTGTTGAAATCCTTGCATCGTCATACCTGAGGCTGGCTATAATCTCCTCGGATCTTTCGTAGGCTTGATGCCTTAACTTTGCACCTAGGCTCGGATACGTATCCTGCTGTTTTGTGACTGGTCAATTTGCCCCGTCACTCGCGCCGTTTGAGTCCCCGGTCACTGAGGTAAGGTTCTCCGTACTGCTAGCTCCGTTTCTCTAAGCGCGCGTCTACCGTCTCAATGCGGGGCCCTGGCACTGACCGCCTTCCATTCCAATTGGTCTGCCCCACGCCAGACACCCTGGACCATCCACCCCACCTGCCCGCCGCGCCGAAGCTTTGGCACTTTGCAACCAAAAACTTTTTGGACCCTTGCCCGAAAATTCTCATGCGCCGGTGCAGCTGCTGCAGTCAAGTCCATCATCATCACAAACTTTATACCAGAAGTCTCAGGTCCACGATCAAGTCGAGTCACAACCGGCACAAACCAGAAACAGAGATTGATCGCCATCAATGCCGTCCTCTGCAGCCCCCAGACGACCGGGCCGTGCGGCCGACAACGAGCACCCGGCATCCTCTCCCGCCAACTCTTCCGGCTCCGAGTCCGAATCCGACTACCTCGACAGTCCTGCCTCGCGCAAGAGACGGAGGACCGACCCCACTGCCGAACCCGATCTTGAAGATGTCGAGAACGACGATGATGACGAGGAGGAGGAGCTTAAGGCCGTCGTGTCTACCATCCAAGCCCCCTCAAGATTCAAGCGCGCCGCCGCTGTCGTCGACCAAGCTCCCCAGACCTCGCTCCCAGCAGCCCCGTCGCAAAACGCAATCACTGCGCCAACAGACCCCAACACCACTTTCTCCGGCATCAACGTCCGGCCATGGCTCGTACAGTCCCTAGCCAACATGGCAATCAAGAGACCGACGGGCATTCAAAAGGGCTGCATACCAGAGATCCTCAAGGGGCGCGACTGCATCGGCGGAAGCAGAACGGGTTCGGGTAAAACAGTCGCCTTCGCCGTGCCCATCCTCCAGAAATGGGCCGAGGATCCCACCGCCATCTTCGGCGTCGTCCTCACGCCCACCCGCGAGCTCGCCCTCCAAATCTTTGAGCAGTTCAAGGCCATCTCCGCCCCGCAGAGCCTCAAAATCGTCCTCGTCATCGGCGGCTCCGACATGCGGCCCCAGGCCATCGCCCTCGCGCAACGACCCCACGTCGTCATCGCCACCCCCGGTCGTCTGGCCGATCACATCCGCACCTCGGGCGAGGACACCATCTGCGGCCTCCGCCGCATCAAATACGTCGTCCTCGACGAAGCCGACCGCCTCCTCGACGGCTCCGGGCCGGGCAGCATGATCCCCGACGTGGAAGAGTGCCTCTCCGTCCTCCCACCCTCGTCGAAGCGCCAAACCCTTTTATTTACGGCCACAATCACCCCCGAGGTCCGCGCCCTCAAAGACATGCCCCTGAAGCCGGGCAAACAGCCCGTCTTCGTCTGCGAGGTCGACACCCAGGCCCTCGCCATCCCCGCCACGCTGTCGCAGATGCACCTCCAGGTGCCCGTCACCCACCGCGAGCACTACCTGCACACCTTCCTCCTCACGGACGGCAACGCGGAGAAGTCCGTCATCATATTCTGCAACCGCACCAAGACGGCGGATTACCTGCACCATCTCCTCCGCATGCTCGACCACCGCGTCACGTCGCTGCACTCCGCCCTCCCGCAGCGCCAGCGCGTGGATAACCTGGGCCGCTTCCGCGCCGCGGCGGCGCGGATCCTCGTCGCGACGGACGTGGCGTCCAGAGGTTTGGATATCCCCGAGGTCGGGCTCGTGATCAACTACGATATCCCGCGGAATCCGGACGACTATATCCACAGGGTCGGTCGTACGGCGCGTGCGGGGCGCAAGGGCGAGGCGGTGACGTTTGTCGGGCAGAGGGACGTTGAGCTCGTGTTGGCGATTGAGGCGCGTGTGGGGAGGGAGATGGAGGCGTGGAGGGAGGAAGGGGTGAATTTGGAGACGAGGGTGTTGCGGGATGCGCTCAAGATTGTGAGCGAGAAGAAGAGGGAGGCGTTGTTGGAGTTGGAGGAGGGAAGGGAGGTTGGGGGTAAGAGGAAGAGGACGAAGCAGAAGCTTAATAATGCTTGATGGTGGTAGATGGGAGTGGGAGGTGGAAAAGTTTTGTGTTTACTTGGTTGGGGAGGTTGCATATTGGCGTAATTGTGATGTGGTTTGATTTGAGTGGGATAGATAAAATAATACCCAATAGACCAAAGTCTGCAAGAACTTCATGAAGAAGATGAACTACAGGGGGTGATGTTTATCGACGATCACGGCTTTATCAAGTCACTTCTGGTATCTTCCAGCGGAATCAATGACGGCCACCTGGTGAAGACAATAGCTATCACAGAGCAACATATCAAAAGGGGTCAAGGTGACACTGAGGATTCTGTCTCACACAGTAGTTGCTTTCGCCAGCCTATATTTGCAAGTGTCACAATCAAGTTCATCATTCAGGGTACAGACTGGCAAAGTGTCAACTCAAACAATGCGTTTAGTAGACGACTTGGTATGTTTTTCTGGAGATGTGCTTCATCCCTCTATCTCTCAGACTGCAAGGAATTGTAGTATCTCCATAATGCTGATCACCATTGTAGATGTTTTATTCCCAAATGAAAGGAACCAATACCAAAACCGTCATGCTCTGTCACCCAAGTGTTCTTTCGGGTTTCTGCGTCTGTCACTAGTACTTTAATCTAGTCGACCTAGCAAAAAGATCGGAAAGCCTCAAGTCCCCCTCCGAGAAGAGTGATCGTCTTGATGACCTTCGTCGGTGCCCTGAGCACATCCAGACACCAAAGCGCACCTACCTTGCACAATATAACATACAACAAAGCAATCCACATTTCATCCCGTCCCCCCTTCACGCTCCTTACGCTCCCTCATTCTGTACTCACGAATACGACCGTGAGCGTAAACGAGAAGGATGATGACTTTATACTTTGGTCGTTCTCTTTGTTGGGTTTCTTTAAGATTAAGTGACCTTTTTTTTTTTAACAAGAGGCAATATAACAAGACCATCGAGCATGTCGGGTAAGTGGATTCCATGCCAACTAGGCTGGGGCGGAGTGAGAATGAATGGGTGGCGGGGGGCTCAATCGCTTACCTGTTTATACTCGTCATTTGAGGAGGTGAGCAAGGCTTAATAGCTAGTACTGTCATATATTCTTAGTATCCCACCAGCTAAGTTTTGACTTTATTCCCGATTGCAAGGCCGCTAAATCTCTGGGAGGGAAGAGATGGATCTCTAGCTAGTCATGTTTGCTTCAAGCTCTTTGATATCTCCTAGACATAAGATTTCCCCCGTACCCCAAGTTCCTATTGAAACGATCTTGAACGATAGTAATTTGTCCAACTTGCATCTTGCCCAGGCCAGTTCAAAATAATCTTTCCCAGGTTTGGCAGTAGCTTTCATCCCTGGGCATATTTCATGCTATCAAGCACCGATAATCAAGTACAATGCATAATTAACGGTGGCTTTCTTTCGAGGGATAACGTAGCCTCTAAGGTCAAGATATGGAAACCCATCTGTGTAACCATAGCCCGACTATTCCCATCACAAGAGTCAAATTCACATTCCGGCAAGCTACTTACCACCAATCCTAACAGGCATGCACCGCCAGCCGAAAAGTAGAGATCATCATATGTGAATCCTACTCATCTCATCTGACAGGAACAACCGACGTGACGTACCACCAGCTCTGCAATAGGGACCCGACCTACCTACTTTCGCAGTGGCCTGCCGCCGCCCTCGGCCGAAGATGCCAGGCATGAACCCGGGTTGAGACATTGCACACGAAAGAGCTAGTGTCTCCCGACAACCAGGAACCAGAACACGGGGAAGCCGGTCAGAGCCAGCCTCGTGTACAAAAATAAAGCAACGGTAACACTGCAGGGAGAAAAGACCAGGAAGCTGGGCCCCAGGTTCGGATGTTCGACCTATTAGTAGACCAACTTCGCGACGAAGAGGAATGCTTGCGATACTGCAGTTTGTTTACTCTTTGTCCCTTTTCCCTCTTTATCGATTCCTCATTTCTTGTTGTCAATATATACCGGCATGAACTCTTTGTTATTTTACTTTTCTTAGACATTGAACCGCGGCCCCGGAGACAAATTAGGCACAAAGACAAGGGGCGCTCTGAAGCAAGACGTCTCATATAACCTGCCTAGAAGAAGAAAACATGATACCCCCGACATGGTCCTGATCCAGGTTCGCGGAGCAGCCCCGAACCAGAAACCCAATCCACATTCCCCAAACTCAACCCCCCCCCCCCCCCTGGTAGCTGAGCTCCAGCTGAAAAAGCTCAGCCAAGCCCGTGTCAAATCTATCCGGCCGGCCGCGAGAGACGTCTCGGGATAGATCTCTCTTCTTACAAAACCTTCCCAGCAGAGTATCTGAGACCCGTGGGCTCGGCCAAGATGTTTTCTCTAGATGGCAGACGAGCTTGAGGTTACACAGCTTGTCCGATGTCGAGCTCAGCTTCCAATCCCTTGTGTGAAAGGTGGATCCCCGTCCGTCCCGTGCGGCCCCCGGCGGCGATCTCAAACCCGAACAGCAACATTCCGCAGACCGCAGCCATGTCCGACAGCGGGAACACTCCCGGGTGTTGAAACGCGGTTGGGTTCAGACGAGTCAAAAAGACCAGGGTTGGACTTCAGGAACACTTGATGAACCACAGCAGTTTTGGGAACAAAGAAGGGCCGTCACATCTTCCGTCTCTGAACTAAAATCAGAGCCGCATGGACTAGGACAGTTTCATCGGCGCCGGGCTTGGTGAGAGAGGCATATGTCCGGTCCACTGTCCTCACAGGCTCACAGCGAAAACCCCATGGCCGAGAAAAGACCATGGCCGTGTCGAATCCCGTTCCGCGTTCACCCTTTACCCCCATAATACAGTTCATCTGTCATCCATTCCGTTCCATGCGGATAGGTGTTTACAACCACACCCCCTCTTCCTCAGATCCACATGCCCAACAATCCTCATAATTCTCCACGTGGGCGCGTGGCTGAAGAGATTTCCAAGCAATAGGGAATCTAGACCTCAGTTTGACAGAAAGGCCCCACAAAATTGGGCGCAAATCGCGAACCAACTGGCAACGAGAAGAATCACTTGCAGCATTTTCGAGATGGATGAGAAAAGGGCAGAAAAAAATCCAAGAAGGGTAGAAAATTTCCCCTTGTCAATATCCACCGTGACCAACAGATCCACAACCAGTCACCAATGTAAGGTCCGAATGCCCTGCCCGATGGAAAGCGGTTCGGTCTACGGAGTAGTTGACGTCAAGAATACGTGGAAAATGCCTGTGAAGAAGGGGTGAAGAAGAGAAGGAAAAAATTTCTCCATCCTAGCCTTTTGGATACTTGGAGCCCGCTTGGTGTTGCCTGTGAATGGAATGATCCACCAGTTCACTGAACTTCACTCACTCCCGAGGACCTATCGCCCAACGAACGAGTGAACACTTCGTCGCGTGGCTCTGGATCTCCGCGCTCTGGGCCACCGTCCTCTCTGGTTGGACGCCGTGGAGATGTGTGCCTGAAGGCTTTTGACAGCCATGAGCCCTGTCGCACATCAGCCCTGGCAGCCAATCCACCTCTCACGCCATGCGGCCAAGGTCCATCAGGCTGATTAACAGGAGCAACACCGAGACGACAGCAAGGCTCCATAGATGTGAAAATCAGGACCGCCGTCCTCTACGCTAGAAGCACGCTAGAAGGTTACGGGATTCCGCGCACGGTTCAAGTGCAGTGGGACTCCGCCAGATGGAAGGACGCTAGAAGGCCGGGAGAACACCACAAAGTGACAGGGATGCCGTGTCTGAAGAGTTTGCGAGGCTCTAACCCCCTTCCTCTGGACATATCTCGTTCTTATTTCCGTGGAGATGCAGTTCCCGTCCTTCCTCCGCAGGCTGCTGATTTTTGTGCATATTGATATTAACCAGTGAGTCAGCACCCATATCGAAGTTGTCGAGTAACCCCGGAGACGCACGAATAATCCGATGCAAGTCCGTACCAAAGTAATTGGCTTGAGAAGACAACCCCGAAATGTAGAATCGATCTAAACCCCAGCCATGAACGACGACATCGTGCAGCAATTCCGCGCAGGAACTCCGTAGGGAGCGAAGCGTCTTCGGTGCAAGCCGAGAAGAAAGACTAGAAATCCTCGCAAGCCACACCCCCGTGCGGCGGCGCCCGGGGGCCTCATCCCAACTGGACACCCCCATCACGGCGACATTCTGGCCGCACATCGCCGAACTGTCTTCTTCGACGGCTACGGGTATTCGAAGCTGCACGGGGCAGGCCGCAGAGGCGTGGAAGGCTTGTTAGCGCCGCTGCAAGTCGGAGCATACTTGGTAGCCGTATAGGCAAAAGCCGCAAAGCCACAACAGCCTCGTCCGAGTCGCGTGGCACACACGCAGACGCCTACGACGCGGGAGTGTTGAACAATGCATAGGTATTTACCAAAGAGTCATTCGGCATGCGCGTCCCTTGAGCCAATGGTTCGATGTGGCCGTGGTGGCACAAGCCACGAGCGGTGAGCATAACAGACCTATGGATGCAACAGAGTCCCTAGGTAAAGTCAGCAAGCACCGCCTCACATCTCATAGGACATCCCCGTATAGGACTTTGGTAGGTAAGAACCCCTTCCTTCCCGTCTTGTCGTGCTCTCTGATTGGTGATGTGACGGTTCACTGCGTGAGGTATTGGACTCAATTTTGGATGCATGTCAACGAGTGCGGAACGGGCATTGGCTGCTTCAAGCCTTCCCCCCCCCCCCCGGCCCCGTTCCGCGAGCGAGTCCGAGCTTTTTGCATACCTTCGCTCTCTTGCGGGAATCCATACGAAGTACTCCGTAGCATGCGGATTCTCTCTCGCATCCCATCCAGCCCTATCTGGTTACCCTGCAGCTAGGCAATCGGCAAGTTGGCTGCTACGTTCCATTGCGTATGGCGGTGATGATGATGTGCTGTAATGTGTTCTGCAGGAAGCTTACCAATGGAAAAGCAAATGCAATCGATGTTCAAATGCGATGAATTGCTGCTGCTGTATCCAAGGTAGGCGAAAATAAGCTGGCATCAGGTTCCTCCGAGTCTCCCTCCGCCTGTTCAAAGAATCGCGGCGCAAAACCATTTGTCAAAATGTGGATTACCTCATCCGAGATCCACCAGGAAGGAAAGTACCCCACTTGCAGGGCTGCAGTTCTCAGTTCTCGCTTCTTCGGGCGATTCCACGACGCTGACATATGAACGGACGGACTTATGATCAATAGGGAGCAGAGTTCTAGAGTCGAGACGCATCTGATAATCTGTCCACGCACAAAGAACCCCTGATCTCGTCATCCCGCTCTAGCTTCATTCGGCATCAGTTATAATGACGCGAGAGCGTGGGAGTGGGCGTGCGCTGGATCCCGTTCACGGATTCATTGATTACTGATGACTCTTCCCGTTCCTGGAGTCTCTGTCTCACGTGTGAAAGTGTGTTGGTTTGGCGGGGCACCCAGGTTTACTTACTCTTCAACTCGCCGACCGTCCGTCCGTCGGGGCTACGGCAACAAGTGAACCGTGCGGGCAGTTCGGAAGAGCTCGAAAGTGTGAAACCCGAGGGTCTTGAAAAAGTCCAGAACAGAGCAGTCACGCTTCATCAGACGGCCGCTTTTCATAACGAAAAAGATGCCGAACCCCCCCCCCCCCCCCTTCTCTGTCTCCCGATATCCTCCGCCCTAAATCCGGATCCATCGTCAAAGCTCTGGGATCCCGCTCATGATCTTCGGACGACACGGGACCGTTTTCTCTTTCTCACCCCCACGTCTGAAATGTTTTCCCCATTCCCAACGGAGAGAGTCGGGAGGATTGAGGTAAGGCACCGGGTTACAGGAACAGTCATTTGCTCCAATCGTCCATCCCGTCTACGAAAAGCGTTAGGAATCGCTACGGTCTACGGTCTACGGTCTACGGTCTACGGTCTACGGTCTACAGTCCACGGCACGGCTACGCGGGGGGTGTGTTTTACGAAGGATTTCGTTATACACGACCGTGTGTACGAATGACCGGTAGCCGCCCGTATTTCGCCGTACTCGTCCCAATCCGGGATTTTGTGCAGATCGTGGGGTTTGTAGGTACCACGGAGTAGGTAAGCTTGGGAGCTTTCCGCCAGGCACAGCCGGGCCCCCAAATCCCGCAACTCTGGGAAGCCGAAGCAATTTCGAGAGTTGATGGTCACGCGCGCTCACAAAAGCAAATGCAAAAGCGGAGTGGCCGGGCGGTCTTGATCCACCCCCCCGATCCCCCTCCCGGCCTCCGCCTTTCAATGGTAGGGAAGGTACTTGCGAGAGCTCGTCGCGATGCTTCACATGTGCGTGTGTGTGTGTAACCATAGACCGCAGACCATCTCACGCGAGACTGAGAGAAACATCGAGGGGTCGTCTTGTCAAACGCCCCTCGCGATTGGATGAACCAATCTCACGGGTAAACTCGAACGGCGAAAGCGAAAGAGAGGTGAGATGGTGTAAGAAGGTTACGGGGCCATGCATGCAGCAAGCCACGCTCTCGATGATTGCCGTGGGTTCTGATCTGACCTAGACAGACCATTTCCTCGTCTCCCCCGCGTCCACGTATTAAGTATACCTAGGCGTAGTAGCCGTAGTAGAGGTATTCGTGTGTAGGCAGACCGACTGGCAGACTGGCACTGGTACTGAGCCACTGGCATTTGCTCCGTCCTCCGTAGAATTAATGGCTCACATCGACTCAAAGCGGAGCGGAGCACGGCGATTACAACCGACCGACCGACTGCCCTAGAGAAACGGAGGAGGGGTGTGTGTGAGAATGAGGATGCGCTTTTGTGGCTTGAAGACTGCCAAGCCCTGCCATTCGCGTGGTGCCCCAGCCTAGCCAGATTTGGCCGGATGACTGATGAGTCGATGACCAAAGATGAGCCATATTGCCCGGATCCCGTCTCCGATCTACCTTTGGCTGTCAGTGTGAGCGTAATCTTTTAGAGTTGTCTGGGTTAATCTCCTTAGTTTGCTCCGTGCCCGATTTCGCGGTGCCGAGCGTCTCCGAACGCCTTACGGAGTGGTACCCCTTCCCCCAATCTTTCTCCGGCACGTCGAATGCCCAGAAGCGGCCCTTTGTTTCTTCGGTATGGGCAAAGTCGGAGAGAGAGAGAGAGAGAGAGAGGCTTCGGCGGGGTTTCTATGGTGTATCACTTGACACCTTCAGAGCCTTTCCGGGCGGTGCGGGCTTCGTGATCCCCGGGTCATCATGATTTATCACCATCCTTGCTTTTTCCTCCTGCTGCTGGTTTTTGGATGAATGGTCCCCATGGAGACGGGATAAGTCGGCGATGCGCAATGACTGCTCCTGATACCTGATGGACATTTCCGCCCTGTAGATCGAACAGACAAAATTCGAGCCCAAGAAGCAAAATTTGTCCAGGTATCTTGGACTCTACTTTGGGCAATTTTGTTTTAGGTATCCGTACAAAAAAAAAAAAGAAGTGTAAACCGGCCGATCAGGCTTTCCGTCCCAAGTTTATGGCTGCTCTCTGCTGCGGTGGCCCCCGTTCAATTGACCCCGTCGCCCGGGGCAATAGTTCTTCGCGATGGTCCGGGCTGTGGAGTTACCTCTCTTTCAGGCTCCGACTCAATCATGGGCCTTTTTGTGGCTGGGGTGCGCGCGTCTCCCAAAGACGTGGACTCCAGGCACCAACCGTAAGGTACTTTGTGTGAGGTAGGTAGGAAGAGGCAGCAAAAAGTTAAGCAAGAGTTATGCCTAACCCGGCCGAGTACTTCGTAGAGGGAAGCGAAGCAAGGCACCGTAATGTAATACATGTAAAAGTAAGGCGATGAGACGTTGCTCTCCTCAAGGCTCAGTCAGCCCTACAAAATGAGCGTGTGGCTCGGGGCCATTCGTAAATCCGTACGGATCTGCTCCGTGTATCCGTACAGATGGGATTCGTACTCCCGTACCTACTTCTCTCTGACGGGGAGGAGTCTGAGTCTCTAGTGCCCAGCTCGCAAGGGCCTATGATTGGCGCGTGTCCGACGAGACCAGAGAAGGCAGTCAGCTGGCCAGCACTTAACCTCTCCGTAGATGTCTATCCCCCGTCGTCCCCAAGCTCGCACTGCTCGCACTCGCACAATTCGCGGCCGTAGTGTAATCCCTTGTCTCGGCGCCGTAAAAGTATGAGGCCTGGCGATCGACCGGGGGGGGGGGGGGGGTTAGAGGGTGCCGGTGAGGTGTTAAGGTAGCAACGGCTCTCGGCGCAGTACTTTTAGGCTTCTTGTTCAATGTTGTCCATTCTGACCCCCAGGTGATCCTCCGTACGGAGGGTACAGAATGCCGGGGGGCCTGGGTAGTGGTACAGTGAACTGTCATTATCCCAAAGGGGGAACGGGAGCGACATCAGATCAGGTCCCTCTCAGCCTTGGCCCGGGGTAAATTGGACAATTGTGACAATCAAGGGGAATTGGGATTTCTTAGGTTGGGATGGCATCTTTGGGGACGGGGTTAAGCAAAACGTACCCCCGCCATGGGCTGGAATCCCCCTATTGACATTATGAGGCCCGTTCCCCTTCTTTTCTATTCTCGCTTGCTGGCCTCAGCTTGTCGCAGATTGCGTGCATGGTGCGAGTTACAGAGTATAGGAAATGAGCCATCATCCCCCCCCCCCCCCCCCCCCCCTTTTTCTGATTTTTTTTTTTGATTTTTTTTTGAGTGTGTGTGTAATTGTGATTGTACGGATACGCAGCGGAGTTATGGTAATTGGTAAGGCGGCCGAGGCCAAGACCAGCAAGCGAACCATAAGCATAACCTGCCCTGCCTGTTCACGATGTATACGGAGTACGGCGTGTCAGATGAAATTGAGGCAGACGAGACGAAGCTAAAAGATGGAGATGACGCGCCTGACGGACAGGGTGAAAGGTGTAGAGGCCGGGCCGCGGTGTGTAAGGCAGGTTGGTGAATAATCCAGCTTGGTCGGTGCGGAGTTATGGGAGTTATGGCTATTTCCTGTCTCCGTTCTGGTGATGATGAATACAAAGTCACTGCTGTAGCAATAGAGGGGGGGTGCTAGGCAATAGACTAGCAGGAGTGCGTGCTTCGCTGATGGAAAGATTGATTACAGAGAAAAGCGAGCACAGGCTGACAAACGTCGACGCTTATCCCATCAGACGCGAGGTACCTACCGACCTGACGAATAAGCAGCTGCGCTCCATAAGGTACAGAGGTGCAGAGCAATAAGGTACTCCGTACGGGTAGAAGGTTACGGATCTTCGGGGTACGTACTCAGTCCGCGATTAGTCGTCGTGTGTTTCCGTCGAGTGCGTCAGACCTCACTGAGACTTCTTCTGGGCGCCCTTTGGTAGCGTCGACGACGACAACGACAACAACGACGCCCGGATTAGCGTCTTGGTTGCTAGTGACGGGCAACCGTACACTTCTCCCGCACCGACCGGCGGCAGCGTAGGTAAGCTCCAAAAGTCCGAACACCACCCGCAGCCCGCAGCAACAAATTCCCAGCTGGCGGAGGCTCGGGAAGCACCCTCGGCCATGCTGATGACAAACGCCGCCCAGAGTCCACAAAGAACGGGAAGGGAGACCCACTTCTTAGTGCTGCAGGCACCGCAGACTCACAGCGAAAGACTCATCGCTTTCATAATTTTCTTAGCTTCGCACTTCGCACCTCGCAATCGCGCAAAACTCCCGCCCTCTACCACCCACACCCCACCCCACCCGATGGGTCATCCACCCCCTGCACCTGCACACCCTTCGCACACACACACACACACCCTCCCCCTTGTCACCGCTCCTCCCTCACTTTTCTTCTCTCCGAGCCCGACAAGTCCAGGTCAGCCAGCACAGCGGAGCAACCTGAGTTAAAAGAAAAGTGTTTCCCCTTCCCAACCAGATCTAGAGAAACCTCATCATCCAGCCTCAGCTTCGACAGACCAAAGACACAAGATCGATAATAACTCCTCTCAAGAAGAAACAATACCTTGCCAACCTGAACTTATATAACCATCATCGACCTTGCCTCTTGCCATCTCAACTCGCCCGCCTCATCTGGTATACACTTCAAGATTACCAAAGCATCATCACAGACCAAGCCAACTAGCCCAGGCATCCCTGCCCCACTGCATCTTGCACCCCCCGATCTCGCTTTGAGTCATATCAGGCAAAATCGCGACATATCAGTCACCATTGGTGCACAGTCATACAAAATGTCGACAACTACTACAACTTCCACCTTCACTGCTCCTCACACACAACAACAACAACAACCCCTCCGCCTTGCCATCCAGAAGAAGAAGATGAGCATCACCCAGACTTACTACCTCGCCCACAAGGCCCGGGCCAAGCTCTCCTCCGAGGCTGCCCGCGCCGACCACGACCTCCGCCTCCTCGTCGGCCACGCCAACCTCCTCGACTCCCTGATGCTTGAGCTCGCCGACGCCGAGCGGGAACAAGAGAGCTGGTTCAACCAGTCCGTCCGCGGTGCCACCAAGACCGAGTCCGCTCCCGCCGCCACCAAGGACCGTCACATCCAATGGGCTGACTCCATCGCCGAGGACTCGGAGGATCTCTACGAGGACGACTCCTCCGACTCGGACGACTCTTCCGTCTCCTCTGACGACGACTACGAGGAGGACGATATCGAGATGGCCGACACCGTCTCCCTCCGCCGCATGCCCTCCGCTGCCCCCGCCCCCGCTTCCCCGAGAACATCTACCATCGAGGTCTCGGAAGACTACGACATGGAGGAGGAGGACGACCTCGAGGAGGACTACGCACAGCTCGAGCTCGTCCGCACACCATCCCACTCCAGCTCCGGCTCACCACCAGAGCTCGAGCACGAGCACGACTCTGACATCTCAGACGACGAGTCGATGCCCCCATCACCGCCAAACGCAGTGCTCACCTTCAACGAGAAGGAGGCCAAGGAAGAGATCTCTCAACAACAATCACAACAAGGCGACGGCACCTTCTACTCTGAAGGCTACTACCTGCCAGCCCGCAACCCAGCAAGGCTCGTGTCTGCCATCTCAGTGTACTAAATCTTACCCTCGAGAACGCACACACACTACCTTGTAACATGATCTCTTCTTTGGCTTTTACATATCAGCGAGCGTTTGCATATACTACGGCGTTTTATTTGTTACCGATACCAAACTACAACGGCATGGGTTACGAATTACTTGGATTACAAAACGACAGCAATGTCTTCTCAACTCTTCTCTCTCATCTTATTTCCTTACGTGTCACGAGAAAGCATGGGGGTGCCTTTTGGAGGACCTTGATGGATAATGGAATCGCATCTTTTTTCTTCTTCTCTAGCTGCGCTCCGCTCCCGGGCTCCAGTCCGCGGTTGAGTGGTACCAGCACCTGTGTTACAGAACCAGATAGATACCCGCTTAGGGGTCAAACAGTGCCCTACAAAAAGCGAAGCTTCAGAAATCAATTGAAAATCAATCAAACAAAATCCCCCCTTGTCCTCTGCAATACTGTGAACACTTTTTGGTACGAGGACTTGGAGCGAAAACACAAAAAGGTCAGTAAAGTCACGATTGCATCATTACTTCTTCATTCGCCTCATCTCGGGGCGAAGTCGAGTTGGATGAAACTTGCGCGCTGACGAGTCATTTAGGCAGTCCACATGATTCAGCAAAGGCCGCCGCGCATAGGTGCGTTACGACTGCATACCGACCGCGCACCTCTCAAAAATCGACTTTTTTATTTTTTTCTTTTATTTTTTCCTGTCTGGCCGCCTACCAGTTTCGCCCAGGTACCCGAAGAGGGTTGGTGGATGCGCCCTGCGATCTCGGCAGATCGGCGTCGCTCACTTTCCATCCCACCTGCACTCACAGCTGCCCAGGTGCCCGCCAACCCCCCTCGCTCGCTGTCTCGCTTACCTCACCCTCGAAGCCGAGCTGCCCTTGCCTTGCGCAGCTGCTCTTGGTGCTGCCTGCCACGAATGGGTTACAAAGCAAATTCCACGACGACGACCACCACCACCACCACCACCGATTTCCGCGCCCCGACATTTTATCGACACGCCCCCCTATGCCCGCTAGCGACCTTCTAGTCATCTTCAGGGCAGGCAGTCAGTCACCGTCTCACAGATTTCCCATGGTTCACTAACGCCGTACCTGCCCGTATCGTGGACGAATCACGAGGGTATTTTCATGGGATTCGGACTTTGGCGGTGTGTTTTAACTCCCCCTTACCGCCGTACAGTCCTTTTCTTGACCGCAAAAAGACGGAATTAATAATTAGGCTGCCTGGAGGTAAGCCGTGGTAATGGATGGTGTACCTAGGTGAAGCAAACAGCGAAAAAGCCGACGCCAGCAGTTATTCATCCAATTCCCGCCGTGCACCCGGAGCGACTTTGCACAAAATGAAAATGTCACCGAGGATATTCACGGATAGTCGCCGGTCGACGATGCAATCTCACGATACTTCATTCGATACGACTTTACGATTGAAAGCCGCTGGCAAACGGCTTCGAATGTCTTCATGATCTGATTTGGATTGGTCTGGTCTAATGGATTTAATTGGAACCGAGAAGAAAACGATTGCGAGGCAAAGACGGCGCAGCTCTGCACTTTGGGGGAAAAGTCGAGAGGCAGAAAAAAAAAAAAAAAAAGATGACGCCAAAAACGATTACGACGATACGAAGCCGACATGAGCTACGAGCGGAAAAAGACGTGGTGGCATCCCGCGTACACAATTACGCAGGGGGGGCGTGTGCACGCGGCCGCGACAGCGAATGCGAGTCACCGAGGTACCCAGGCGACAAGGCAACAGACAGCGGAGAGGCCAAAAAATCAAATGACAGTCATCAGGGCGTGCGGACGGACGAATCCCGTCCGACTGGAGACGGCGAACCCAAAGGAGACAAGCACCAAGTCCCCAGGGCCACCAAGAACCAAGAAGGATCCGACGGAGAAGACAACCTCCCGCAATTGCCCTGCCAGGAACCCGTCCCACCGCCTGGACGGTGACAGAACTGTTCCCTCGGGGCCCGAATACTGCGGGAACGTGGAGACACGTGGTGCGCATAGGGGCCCGAGCGCAGCGCTTTTCCAGGCCGAGGTGGCCGTCATCCCGCGCTGACATAAGGCGTATTAGCCAGCAACCGAAAGGACCAACGGAGATCTGGGCTGCCAGAGTTTTTAAGATTGGCAGATCAGAGGTAGATGGAAATGGGCACCATGATTAGGCTTGGCTTGTGAAGTCTTTTGGCGAGGGTCCTTGACCACTTTCACGGCTTCGTCGGCGGCCGGCCTTGTTCGCTGGGCATTTCATTGCCATTCTCCGCGATGTAGACGCTAATTAACATCTAGAGCAATGTAGAGTATGAGAAAATGGACCGGCAACTGGAAGCGAACGAGACTGACGAAGGGTGTGTGTGCAATATGCCTGCCGCCGTTTGAAATGATTCATCCGGTCTGTCAATCCATCCGGTCTACAGACATAGCCGGCACCACCACCACCACCACCGCCATCAGTTCCGACTTCGCTGGGCACACGGGTCGGCAGGACCACGATTGAGCCGAACGGCCGGCGATAAGGGAAAAAGGCATGGGAGACACGCACGCCGACGGCTTAAAGGTGGTGGTGGTGGTGCGCTCTGTCGATCCAATTTTCCCGCCCGCCGTCGGAAGCCTTGGCCGAGCCGGCAGCGTTGGCGGGAGTAGCTTAACGGCTGGCACGGTCGGCATGAGAGGTGCAGCAGTCGAATCCCATTCTTTTCGCTCGCCAGTCTCGGCTACGGAAGAGCCTAAATCAGCACTGGTGGAAGTACCAGAGATCTCAAGTGTGACGAGACAGCGTCGGCGGGCAGGCTTGCAGACGGACGGCACGCTTGTTTCTGTTTCACTTGCGTTGTTCTTCCCCGATCGAGGGACGTTTGGAATCCCGCGGGTTAGGTTTTTGGGAGGGAGGGGGGGTCTTCTATCGTGACAAAAGGCACCTACGGATATGCACGTGTGAGTTGGTTTGCAGTTTTCTACACATTTAGTACGATAGATGCCCGACTCGAGTCAATAAATAAAAATAAAAACCTTCTCGGCAAGATTCCGTGTTTCCCTCGTCGCAAAATGGATGCCGAAAGGGAAGAAAATCAAATGAAATGCATCTAAAAGTCTAGGTCGGTGCGCTAACTTCCTAAGGTCTGACAAACACCAAAAACCCGTCCCGTCCGTCAGACTTGGCGGCGGTGGGAGGGTGAGAGTTTCCCACAATGGTTGTCTTTTTGCTTGACCGCCCCCCCCCCCCCCTTAGGTCGGGTATCCGTACGGATATACGAAGTATGCTGTCCCTTTATCAATCCCGGGGTCATTTACCTAGTTTTACCTGCGGGTGAGAAGAAGGCCTCAACACGGGCCACGGCAGCCATGGGAAAGTGAAAAAAGTAGGGCGGTGAAGGGTTAGGTTCGGGTTCCTGGGGAGATATTGGGGCGGCACCTAGGTGGTTACAAGCATTATGCGAAATGAGCACCAACCTCGTCGCTGGGCTGCTTGAGCTCTTTTGACTGGACTGCGTGAATGGATCAACCTCTTTTCTTATTTCTTGTAGAGCAAGGCGAGGAAAATGTCAAAGCGGTGCCCTGCACAAAGTTACAAAAGGTGTGCAGGTTGGAGCGGTTGACACCTCATCTCACTTAACCCCCCCCTGATGGTGATGGGGAATGAGACAAGACACGCTGGCGAGCAGGGCATGATTTAACGGGATTGATAGCAATCACTGGGGCCTGAAAGTCCTGCGGGCGTGGGGTTTTGCGGTTCAGGGCGTGAGGCCGGGGGCGGGCTGGGGGGGCCAGACTCTCTGAGTGAAGGGCTGCAATCTGGAGTCCTGGAGTCTTGGACCCTATCTGCCTTGCTTGTGTCCCCCCCGTCGATCATTTGAGGCTGTAGGCGAGAGTGGGGAGCGGGGAAGGCGAGTATATCCGTAAGGTAGCTATGGACAATTGTGCAAAATGGCATAGACGGGTCGGGGGGCAGAGATCGAGTCTTTCTCTGTCTAGTGTACGGATAGATCGCGTGATGACGACCGGTGATTGTCGATGTAAGTGAGATGCAGATTATCCCATGAGGGGGCGGCCCGCACGTGGGGAAATACTGAGGTCACGATGGCGAATTATACAAGGCGATCTGATCTTGCTTTGGGAATCATTGAGTCTTATCGATTAAACAGCACGATCAGATAAGAGAGAGAGAGAGAGAGAGTGCTAGGTACGGAGCACAGGCTACGGCCACGGCTTCCGAAGGCTGGGAAGATCTTCATGCGCGCATGCAATCATATCATTCTTGCGGATACTCCGCGGCTCTTTCGTTGCGGACTTGCGGGCTGTGCCTTATCCAGGCGTGCCAAGCGTCCATGATCTGCTTGATAAGGGGGGGGGGGGGGGATCTGGCACAATCTGGATCCACTGGAATACGCTGTACAGTGGAAGAGCGGTACCAAGTGGGCAAAACCAGGTCCAGAATAATCAAGATCGACTCCTATTATGAAGGCTGGAAAAAGGTCTCGACTCTCTTGACGAGGAAAGATTATCAGTGCTTGCTCACTTGCAAAGTTGGACGACTGGATGAGCGGTTCGCCCGCACCTGCCCGCAGCCCGCAGCCCGCACCGAAGCCCCATCGTTCTCTAACATACCGCCGCTCCACGACAAGAAAATCCCACCCCCGTCTCTCCGCCGGGGTGCGGTGCGGCGCGGTGGATGGTTTCGGGCGGGCGGCGGTGCGGAAGGGTGAGCAGGGAGGAGACGGGGGGAGTGCAGCGAGCCCAAGGCCTGTGACTGTGTAGCTCTTGGGCACGGCGGGGCATCTATCTGGTGGGGGTTCTTTTTTCTCAAGGCAAGGGGGACGAATAGTTTGCAGATAATCATCGCAGGGGTTTAGAATCAGAATTTGTGCAAAAAGAGATCGTGAGTATTCCGATCGTGAACTTATTGAGAGTGATGAGTCGTCGATGAAGAGATGGGAAATTCCAATCTGGTCAAGGGAAGCGAGGCGGATCCCCCACCCCCATTCGGAGGGGGGTTTTTTTTTTTTTTTTTTTTTTTTGAGCCACTCACCGCAGCCGGCCCTGAAATTTCGCGATGGTGGCCTCAGATGGGCGATTGCTTGGCATTGGAGTTCATCTCACATTGTAATCCGTAAGTCCAGACCGCTGGGCGGGTCCGTCTTCTTCCCCTTGGGCGGCTGGAGCCCGGGGGCCGAGAATTATGGATCTTGCATCTCCCACCTAGGCTTGTGCATAAGAGGGGTGGGGTGAGAATAGTGGAATGTGGATTCTTAATTGTGCAAAATCTGTGGGGCTGATATCGTAAGCCGAAGCCGAATTATTCATCGGTCATCCAGGTCCCCTCTACCACGGCTGCCAAGGATTCTCCCACACTTTGTCCGAGCGGCCGATGACTGGTTCAAGGAGAAAAAAAAAAAGACCTGTCGGCTTGGAAATCAGAGACAAAACTTGACGAGCATACACCCACACCCCTCCCTCCCTTCCCTTCCGAAACGTGAGCAAATGCAAGCTGCGGGCCGCACCTGTCTGTTGCGAAGATCCGCAGAACGTGCTGGATTACTTAGGTTTGTGGTCGTGGTCGCGCGGCCGAGTTTACTGGACGGATTTGTCAGTTCGTGCGAGAGACCTTCCGGGTTGCCAAGCAATTGTCTGTCGTCGTTGGCAAGCTAGACTATGTTGGAATCACAATCGGTTGTGCCTAACGGAGCCTACGATCTGAGAGGCCACGAAGGCTTCATCGGTTCGTTACCGGAAATTATCTTCAACCCGATCTCGCATTCTGAAGCAAAACAGTAGTGCGTGGCTCACTACTGCGCCATGCCCAGAGTGCCCACTTCACCCGAAGAAGCTCATGGCATCCCATCCCCCCTCCGCCCTCGGCACCGAGAAGACGACCGTCTCCACAAACCGTCCGGATCACGAGACAGATTGCCTTTGGGCTTCCAGACCAGCGGTTCACGCAATGGGCACTCTCTCCGTCGGGAGGAAAACAAGAGTTGGCCCGTATGCCCGTGTAGAGGATGTCCGTCTCGGGTTCCTGACAGTGGTCTGCGTTTCTGCATGTCTCTCTCGGAAAACGAAACGGTCTGCCGTGCAAAAGTCAAGTGAGTGTGTATCCGTAGACCAGTCATCTGATGAGAACAAAGTCAAGCTCCCACCAGGTTCGTCGTCTCAAGAAGAGACTGTGGTGTTGTCCGATGAGACGGGATGATGGATGGGTGGTGTCACCCGGGACGCGATACAGACACCGCCTGACTGGATGAACGTGACCGTGCCGTTTGACGACCTGACTTGCATCCCATGATGGCGTAGCTTACAACTCTGCTTTACCTACAGTTGTACACCTCACCTTCTCTACGCCTCTACCTATTCAGGATGACTACTCTCTACACCAAAGAGCCCTACAATTTGGAGATAGCACAGGCGTGCGCCGCGTTCTCGCACTCGCTCTTAACCCCGCGTGGTGTGCGCAAAAAGACAGAGAGCCACGCGCAGACGTATCCGTAGAGTGGGAAACTCTGGGCGCGGAGCGGAGTTCGCAGACCTGTCCAACCCCGACGACCGCGCAGAGAGACTTACACCCCAAGAGCGATGCGCCAGAGGAGCTCCATCTCACGGTCATCGATTTTCCGCCCTACGGTCCGCTTACCTCAGCCCTTCCTTAGCTTGGCTCTCCCTTACTACGAAGTACCTACGGATAATAGTGCAGGCTCATGTGTCCGCCAGGTTGAGAGGAACAGAAACATAAAATCCGCGTGTTTAAGAGCGGCGCACAGCACAGCACAGCACAAGGAACCCCCGGCTCTTCGGGGAGAAGCCAAAGTCCGGGAACCCAACACTCCGCACCCACGCACACCACCCAGTTGGACCCATATTTTAGACATTCACCACTAAGATGAGCTCCCCTTCCCGCGGGTCCCGATTTTGGACCCCTAAGAGTGATGAAGTCATTCGAGTGTTGATCCTCTCCTTCCTTGGGGTTCGAACGGGGGATGATTCCAACGGGGTGTGTGTTCGGACGGCGGGCCAAATTCATCATTCCACGTTGTGGACACGGGTGTCCGGCGTCAAAGGTGAAGCTTGCCCGTCCCTTTCGGCGCCGAAGAGGAGTGATGCTGTCATGATTTGCGGTGATGAGGCGAAGAGCGATCGGCGAGGTGGTGTGTAGTGTGTGGTATATCCCTACCGAGAGGACGTTGGGATCGGGATCACGGATCGCCGGGGGTGCTTCCTCGATGAACGGCGATGAGGCTTGACGTAACTTTGCCGATGAGCATTGGGGGCCCGAGGCTCTGGTTCCTGTCCGTCCCGTCAGGCGTCCTGTTCCTCGTGCTATCCGTGTGGGTTCCGGCTATCCAGTCTCACTCGGCCGAGTGGCTTGTGCTCCCGGGGCGACGTTCACAGGCAAGATGCTCGAGCCTGAGGTGGTGTTCGACCATAGCTCCAGCCACCGGCGCCTATCTCGCTCCTTCCCACCTCTGCATCCTTCCATCCTTCCATCCTGGGGCTCCTCTCAGCCTCAACTGATTTATCCGGCCTCGCTTAACCTTACTTATACCTCCCCAGCGTCGTTTCCTGTCGCCAGCACAGTGGGCGTCGTCTGTGGTCGGCGGGTCAGATCAATACTCTTGAATGGTTAATAAAATAAACACGCCAATGAAGTCAGAGTATGTGTTGACTGAGGGGCTCGCTGTTCGATTGGGGGCAGGGGGCGTGAACTAAACCCCCCCCCCCCCCCTTCTTCTTTTCCTATAATTTTATGGTTTTCAATCACATGCGGCTGTCATGCTTGCTGGATCTGGCGTCTCTGCTGTTACAAAGGCAATCTGCAGTATGTATAATCCATCTCTTTCCATCAAACCGTTGCTGGTGATATGAGGAAGCTCAGCCTGTACTAAATCAAGACTATTATCTCTCATCCAAAATCTTGACGTATTTGAATGTTTTGTCAGCACAAATTGATCACCAAGGGGAGTGAGAGACTGAGTGTAATGTGTTTTCCTTCTCCTAGATACATGTAGGGTATGTGTCTTCAGTGTAAGAGGCTTTCTCATAACCGAAACAAATTAGTTTCAGAGGCATCACAAGTCCGACTTGTGTGAACGACGCCTGGCCCAGTGGCTTTCCTCACATAGACGAAGTAAACGACTGCCGCAAGCCCTCTGGGCTTGTTGCCGTGCAGATGTGTTACAACCCACCCAAGACAGCGGGCGTGACTTGAAGTATCCCTACGCCATCTCATTGCCAGGCAGATCACGCACGTCCTCTCGGCACCCAGCTTGAATGTTCGTCAACGGTCTGATCTCGAGAGTACCCACACACGAGCTGTTGGTGCCTTTTTCATATGTCTGCATTCTATATAGATCGCCAATGGCCGGCTACTGGCGATTATGGAAGCTAATGTCGAAAGTGTATAGGTCCTGTCGAACAGGACAAGAGCGAGTATCTGTAGAGTATGGAATCCAAAGAGTTTGGCAACTTAAGCATGATCTCGTCTGACCTTAGAGGAGCAGAGCAGAGCTTTCCTTCCCTCTCATATATTCAAAGCTATCATTGGCGTTTCAGACGATAACTCGATTCGGAGTGAACGTTATATTCTTGCGGGAGTTGTACGAAATGAGCAATAATAATAGCTTGGTTGGGATGTCGCTTTAGCACGGATCCCAGACGTACTTGACATCTCTGTATAAATTTGACATTGGACAACCGAGAATAACTCGGGTTCGTAATAACGAGGAACGTTCTCAACGGCTATACATCAAGTACTCGCCCTGGTGAAAATTCACCGATCCGGTGTTCAGTGTGTGATATCTGTTCGGGCGCGAGTCCGCTTTCGTTTATCGTAACTCATCTCCCACCAAGAGTTCTCTAGCTTCTGCTTTAGGATACCCTTGGTAGGGTTGTGTCGTCTACACTTGGCAATTAATGGTTGGCGCTCCCCAGAGGCTCTTCACCCACATCGCCGTCTCTCCAAGCATGGGATATAACGTGAAGGCGATACTACGCAAACGTAACCTCCGCTCCATCCCTAGACTAGACACAATCCGACAGCTCAGCCTGACAAATATGCGCGAGCTATGGTGTGTCTGTCTCAGAGCCAGTTTACGTTTCCCTCGACGCCACGCTTTAGTTACTTAGGTACTTTACCTACTCGTTTGCGCCCAGCCGAACGTTTGTCTCATCAATCAGATGGTATAAGGAAGGAGTAAGAGGGGGAAATAAGCCACGCCCGGTTTCTTCTGAGCTAAAAAACGACGTCTCGAACATGATTCTCCTTGTGAGTCCTCTCAGTAGTTGTGTCACCGAGGGCATATTAGACCAATCTTTACATAAGTACAGGAAGTTTGTAGCCACTGTGTTCATTTCCAATTGTCTTTTGTATCATCAATGGGGATTATTATGCTTTTGCTCGTCATGCATTATCATTATTCGTAAGGTAGTGTGGTACAGGTAGACTAGGTAGTACAGGGTATCTGCGCGAATCATCCTGGAAAGTGTGTCCCTTTCGGACCGCCAATTTTCTTCTTCTCTCCTCTTCTCTTTTCCCTCCTTGTGCTGTCATGCCCTCTCCCCTCATTCGATCACACGATTAAACAGACATGATCAACCCCAGCCCGCAGCCCTCCTGTCCCAACGAGGCCTTGAACTCGCTCGCGCGCCGCCAGTGCTCGCGATCGATGCGCTCCTCCTCCTTGCGCATCTTGAAGTCGAGCAGGCCGTCGTCGCCCTTGCGCTGGCGCACCATCTCGGCCTCGACCTTCTTAAAGGCGTGCCAGTCGTCCAGCTGGGAGGGGAGGGGCACCTGCTGCACCTCGTCGAGGCTCTTTTGGCCGTCGACGCGTTCGAGGAGGAGCTCGAGGCGGTATTTATCCGTGGCGGGGTCGAGCTTGTTGCCGTACTGGCGGATTGTGTACAGGCCGTCGTAGCGGACGCCGGCTTGGGGCGCGAGCGTGCTCTTGAGGCGGTAGCCCCGGAGGATGCGGATCTGGGTACCGACTTGGGTGAGGAGGGAGACGTGCATGTCGGAGAGCCGGCCCTCGCGGATGTAGCGGTAGAGGTTGCCGCGGATGTGCTCCTCGCGTCCGGTGAGGAGGGGCAGGGCGGTGACGCCGTATTTGCCCTTTGTGGGTTTCTCGACGGCGGTGCCGATGACGCCGTCGCGGTGTGCGCAAGCGAGGTTCAGCCACCAGCTTTGGGATGTTAGCAAATACTCTCATAAGTAAGTAGTGGAAGTAACTTACTGTCCCGGCTCGAACTGCTGGTTTCCCTCCAGTTCCGAGATGGGGTCGCGGCAGGTGTTGCTGACGGCCCACGACTCGAGGGGGTCCATGCCGGACGCAGTGAAGTGAATGTCGCGCATCTCGCCGCCGATGGACAGGCTGCGCTGGCGGACCTGGTCGAGGGAGAAGTACTGATCGCGGAAGCGAGCCCGCCACATCTTTTGCAGGCTCTCGCTCAGGGCCATGTCGGCGCGGAAGCGGAGCGGAAGCGGGAGGGGGCGGTGGGCCGGATCGAGGACGTCGCCGAGGAGCTTGTCTAGGCGGGCGTACTGGAGTGTCTCAAAGTCGAGGGACTGGGTGTGGTTCAGCTCGTCCTTGAGGGCCCTTTCCAGGAGGCTCTGGATCCTGTCCGCGTGGGGACCGAGGCTCTTTGAGTGGCGAAGAGAAGTCCGTACTGAGTCGCAGAGCTCGAGGAGTTGTTCCTTCGTGGGCAACGGCTCTGTGGCGGGAGGAGATTGGATATCACCTGGAATTGGTGTTAGATTACTGTTGGAACATCGCTGTGATTGCTGGACGATGCTGACCTGCTCCGGGGTATCTCATAAAATATGTCTCTGTTGTTCCGTCCATCTGGAATGGCGAACGGCAAGGCCTAGTCATGATTTGGGTGGGCGACATGATGGTTGAGATTGAGAGAACTAGTCTTTCAAGTGAGAGAAGTCGCTATGTGGTCTTTTGTAGGAGTGGGAAGTGGCATCTACACGTTGCAGGATCGCTGAATTGTTTCGCTAATGTCTCCGGGACTAGCGGTTAGGCTTCGTTTTGCGGTGCTTGGTGTTGTTCGCTTGAGTGTATCTTGCAGATGGAACGTACCAGACGGAGGGAAACGAAGAGCGACTTATATGAAGACGAGGAGATGAGGACGATAGCTTGAAGAGAAGCGTGGTATCCGAGCTAGCCAAGGTGTGCACCCCTGGACCAGCGGGACCCAGGGGTGTAAGGCACGAGTTCTCCCGTGAGACACAATGTGCAGAAAGGGGGAAGGTTCTGGTCCCGTTGAAACCACTCGACCGGGAAGACTCAAGGTTCCGAGGAGGAGGGACGATGAGTTCATCGCGCCTCTCAGGTGGTGGCGTGCGCTACCGAGAGTTTGGTTTGGGTCGGCAATCGGAGGTGGTGGACTTTTGGCACTCCAACCGAGAGCGAGCTGGGCTTCATAGGCTTCCTCTGGGTAGGAATAGCCTGACCACAAGGTAGGTAGACAGGCTAGCTGCTAGGGGCCGCCAAGCCGGGCGATCGGTGGCAGAGGAATCTGTCAGCTCAAGCTGTTTGGAAAAGACGAGCCAGTCTGACGGAGAGGGGGTTTAGCATGATGCGGAAGGCATCCCGGAGGCTGAAGACGTTCCAGACTTGGGGCAGTGGTGAACGACGGCCGAATCCCAAAGTAGACAGAGGTAAAGTGGACGCAGAGTGGACGGCAGGAGAGGGTTGTGGCACACAATTGTGGCATCGGGCGCCTCGGGCAAGAGTGCTGTCCTGTCCGCCTACCATTGACATCTCGACGTGGGCGTAAAATTTCTTCAGTGATTATACCAAGTCCGGCGATGCTTCGAGACAATCTGTAACATATCGAATCCTTCGACCCGTCTGAATGGCATAGTGCCGACAGAACCAAGCTGTCGGCGTCTCGTTGAGCCATGTGGCATCCGTCCGGAATTGTCGTAGCCGCTTCCGGCCGGCGTTTTTCTCGGCAGCGGTTAACCTCTTCCGGCGCTCAGTCGGAGCATGCCTGCTCCCCGACGTCCTAGCGTCCACCAGATTCCTTTGACAACCCGGGTCCAAGGTTCAGGGAGTCCGCAATCTGACTTTATGCCGCTCTTCCCAGCTTCGTCGGTGGTGCAACGTTTCTGGTCGAGGCCTGAAAATTCGCTGCAAATTCGCTGCAAAGCACTCCATCAGTGGCGGTCACCACATTTAGGTTCGCCAGCCTCAGGGTTAGACACTCACTCAATCGGTCTCGTCGAACCCATCCAGGGACTTGGGACTGTGGTGTGCCCTTATTCATGTCGGCCAAACGCACTGTTGGTCCAACGGCCGTCATCCGCCGCCATTTCTTGGCAGGCGGGAGTGTCAGCGTCAATCTGTCTCAACTTGAGACGTGGCGCTGAAGAGAAGTTCTGAAACCAAGTTCTTGAACTGCTGGGACGCTGCTTCAGCTGCTTCAAAGCCAGCGGGTCACACACTTTGCGGCAGGAGTCCCACTGTGGCCCCAAAAGACGACTATGACTGCATCTAGGATGTCATCGTCAGGTCCATGAGAGAGAGAGGGCGACGTAGGTGGACTAAAGTTCGACATCAACGGGCGCAGAATACGAGAAGCAGCTGAACGCCTTCTTGGATGGGCTGGTGAAGAGGCGCTCCATCAACACTTGGGCGGTCCCAAGAGTGCCCATGGCTCTCATTAAAGCCATATAGAGCGGCGGAATGGTTGAGGGCCTCAAGGCTAGCCACATGGGGCTGTTCTCTGGCTATAAGCGCTCAAAGCTCAGCGAGAACAGCTTCTGAGTAGAAGCTGTTTCGTCGTCTGGCCCTGCCCAAAATATCGACAGATTTAGGCGAAGGCGGGACGGCCTGTGGGTGGCTTGTTCTTCGCTTCAGTTGAAATTCGGTTCTCCAAGACAATTCGAGTTAGCCATCCGAGGTCCGTACAGTCCTTCCTAAGCGAACAGCTCGGACAATGCACATTGGATGCTTTCGGTTGGATCTTGAAGGTTGAACTCGTGGGAGGAAACAAAGGCTAGGGCATTCAGCAAACAAACGCCACAACCAAGATTCATGTGGATTTTGTCGAGCAGTCCAAGTCGAAATTTGCTCTCTATGGTTTGACAGAGGCATTCGAAGACGGGAATGTACTTGTGCTCTTTGAGCGACCTCTCCTGCTTGCTCATTTCGCTTCTATCAAGCCCTGGTCGTGGACATGAGATATGTAAGGTATGATGCCGGGGTGGGTGTGCTTCTGTGCCCTATGACAGACTACGAGCAATTGTTGCGTGGGGAGAGATAATCTAGGCAGATGTGCAACGGATGGAGAGCGACAGACCATCAAGCAATGTGCGAGATGGTAGATTAGAGATTGGGTATTCCGTCCTTGTCGAATCCTTGCAGAACGGTTGAGAATGCCATGTGGTGTCAAAATCCGAATGGCCGCCAAGCAACGGCGGGCAAAGATTGACATTTGTGTGTACGGACGTAACTCGAGCAAGCCACGCACGATACCTGCTAGCTAACCGATTGTCGTCCCCATAGCCAATTCAACCCAGGAACCTGGAAAATGGTTGAATGGGATATCCTTGATGACAGAACCAGGTTAGAAACGGATTTGCGTATCCAGAAAGCCGGTAGCAAGTTTCCTCTTCATAATGTGGTTGGCTGAAAAGCGAGGACAGTCGGACATCTCGAAGAAAGATCACTGCGGGCGCACTATCTCTTTGGCTGCCGTTACTAGGTGGTGATTTTTTGGCTATTGCTTCTATGTCGCTTGCCATTTCGGTTCTCAAGGTGGCATTTTTCGTTCCATTTCTTCTCGAAAGAAGTTTGAGGCTGAATGGCACACATACTGCAAGCGAAAACGGCGAGAAGGGAACCGAATGGAGGAGAAATGACATGGAGAGTGAAAGGTGACGATGGTTCTGTGGTTGGAGTTGAGAAGAATGGAAGTTGGAGTACGGGCGTAAAAGCGCGTCCCCACTTTCCCCGACGTCCACCCAGTGCCACATTCTCCACGCGACATGACGGAGAACCTTGGCAGTAGCCTCCGGACCACATGCAAAACTCCAACTTGCCACTCCCCATCCAACAACAGAATACCATACACGTCACGAAAATCCAGCACCAATTCCGCCGAAAATGGACAGCAACAAAGACCTGCTCGCCAAAGCAAAGGAGTACTCGTCCAACAACGTGGACCTGTACGACCTGCTGCAGATCGACAGCACCGTCACCGAGGAAAAGGACGTCCGCCGCGCGTGGCGCAAACAGTCGCTCAACTACCACCCGGACAAGCTCAAGGACGCCTTTGACCCCGAGAAATGGGAGCTCATAGAGACGGCGCGCGACATTCTGCTCGACGCCGCCGCCCGCGCCGCATACGACAACGCCCGCAAGGCTGTGCTCCTGCGCAAGGCCGAGCGCGACCGCGTCCAGGGCCAGCGCAAGCGTCTCATTGACGAGCTCGAGGCCGCGGAGCAGGAGGGTAAGAGACAGAAGCTCGCGGAGCAGGAAAAGGCCCGCGAGCTGGAGCGGGAGAGGGCGCGGCTCGCTGAAGAGGGACGCCGGCGCATGGCGGAGGAGTCGGAGAGGTTCAAGCGGGAGAACCTGGAGCGGCTGGAGAGGGAGAGGGAGCCTGATGAATACGACGAGAAGCTGGCCGAGTTGCAACAACGGCTGGACGATAAGAGGCGACTCAAGGCCGAGAAGAAGGCAAGGAAGAAGGGCGGCGCGGTCGGTGACGCTGCTGCCGATGCAACCACGCCTGCGTCAGCGAACACACCAGAACCAGCACCGAAGCCGGCCCCGGCAGCACCCCCTAAATGGGAGGATCTCAAGGCACGCATGATTGCGGCTCAGAGGCTCAAAGAAGCGAAAAAGGCTGCCGAGGCAGGGCAGGCGACCGAGGAAGAGGTCAAGCAAAAATACGAGACAGTTCGGGCTCTCGACCCGAGGAATAAAATCTAGACGGACTCAGGATGGACATGGTTTCGTTGTTGGAGAAGATGATGGTGGACTGAGGCCGCGACGATTTACCTACGCGATTATACCCCTTTTTTTTCCTACTATTTTACAATACGAGCGGCACTGACTTTTCAGTTAACCAGATGCCTCGTTCAACCCGTTCCTCAACCACTCGGGCACGAATGCCTTGATCTTCACTGCGTTGTTCTGCTCACCGTCCCCCTCGCCTTCGCCCCATTTCAGCAAGAACTCGTTGGCGGGGTCAAAGGTGGAAGCGGCCGTCTCGCCAGGTAAGACGACGTCCGTCATGATCTCCAGACGGCACAGACCCAAGCCAACGTTCCCAATGCCCTTGAGCCACTTGCCCGCGCTCCGCCCCTTCTTGCCAGACCTCCCGATGCTCGTCTCCCGCGGAATGGATTCCGCGGGCAGACCACCCTCGGGGCCGTGATTCGCCGTGTCTTCTTCTGCCGCGCCTGGTCGGTACTGCAGCGTCTGGGGCGCCGCCCTGTCCACGTCGTAAATCATGCACGGCAGGATCCGCTTGCGCACCACGCCGCGGTGCTTCGTCCGGATGGTGAGCTCTTGCCCGACGTAGCATCCCTTGTGATAGTCGATCCCGTTCATGTAATCCATATTCGTCTCCTGCGGCAGCGCGTGCTCCCTGATAACCTCGTCCTGGCCCTCGGCGACGCCCTGCAGGTATCGCCTGATGGTATAGCTGTCCTCCGTCGTGACGTCCAGATCCAGCGCCAGCCCCGACGACGACGCGGCCGCGTCCCCGCCTTGCACGACGCGGTATCCCAACCCAGGCGTCCGCGGGTCCTTGGTCATCGTATCCAGCAGCGCGGTGTCCGTCGTAATCGGCCTCTCGCTGTTGTCGTTCCAGGCATGCCACACCGTCGCCTCGTCCGCCGCAAGTAGCCGCACGGTAAGCTTGGCGCGCAGCTTATACCGCTTGATATGCTTCGCCAGTCTCTCCGCCTCGTTGGCGTCGACTTCGATGAGGAACCGCGTGCCAGCCTGCTCCGACTCCGCCGCCGCGCTGCCGCCTAGGCCTGCAATGTCTGGGTATATGAATACATCGTGCAGGACGCGGCCCGTGGCGTTGAGGAAGGCGGCGTAGAAGCCCGTCTTTCGCGCGCGGGCGGCCTCGGAGGCGATGTTGCCCGTGATGACGCCCTGGAGGAATTTGGCGGCGTCGGCGCCGGCTACGGAGATGAGGCGGCGCGAGGGGAGGGCGGCGTAGCCGGCGGAGGGGGGCGCGGAGGGGAGAGTTGTTGGGTTGGTGCTCGAGTATTGTCGGCGCTGCTGCTGTTGTTGTTGGCGACAGGTGCGGCAGATGAAGGTTGTGGCGGATAGCTGCTTGCGCGCTGCTGTGAGCGTCGCGTTGCGGGTTACGGTGTTCATCATTGCTGCAGGTCGGGTGCCCTTTCGAGCTAGAGATTCGTCGACACAAGTAAAATAACTAAAAAAAGAAAAAAAGAAAAAGGAAGAGCGCAGGATATGTTTGACTCAATCGGCGACCGAGCTAGCTGTACGGGATTCGAACACGCCCGTGATGGGGTCTGTTGCTACTAATCGCTACGGCTACCAGGATGTGGAAGGGAAAATTGTTTGGTTTGTCATGACGTCCTAGCTCCGGGACGCACGGGACTCTCGGCCCGGGGTTAGGCCCATGGTACTGGACAATTGTGACAATGCCTAATGCCAGGGACGGAGGGTCGGACGGCGTTGCTCCGAGTTTTTGGCCCCACTGACGGAAGGGACACCTGGATGCCCTGAGGTGCTATCCGTACCGTTTGTGGAGACTCGAGAGATTCGTCTCACTTTCAACCTGAACGGAAGGGTCCCCCTCTGTGTGGCCTGTGCTTTCCAAAGCTAAAGTGCTGCCTGGAGGGCTGGAAATCGTCAAGCTTCTCTTGCAACATCCAACCTCGGACAATGACTGTTCAACGTTTGCTATCTGAGTAGATTCCCACAGTCCTGGGGACAATGTACGAATATCCAGGTGGGACTGTTAGAAGAGGACTGACGACGCGCAACTGCAGGTCATGTCGACGGATGCCGGCAATGGCTTTCCTCGTTGCCTGGACGCACCAACTCGATGTGGCATACGATTCGAGAGAGCGCCCTTAGATAGAGAGCAATCAGTTCCAACGTTTATATCCGGACTCACTCGGCAATAGCGTCAATAGTCTGGCGATGCGATTATTCTTTGGCCACTACGTTACGCATATGAGGTCCATCTAATCACATCTCGTCGAGACCAAGTGGCTCCGTGGATTTGTCGATTTCACGACTCTCTAGGTGGTCTCGCGCCACCACACCTACGGTCTGGAACGTTGTCTTCCCTCGTCATGTCTCAGCATCACCACTGCCGTCCACCCGATTTCCATGACGCAGATGTCGAACAGTAGCACTACTTCACGGCAGTGAGGTACGGGCGCAGCAACGCAGCGGGAGAGGCGTGCCATTCCTCCTGGCGAGGCTGAAGGCACCACAGGCAGCTGGGATGCGGGATTGTGGCCCAGTGGGCTCCCAAATTTCCCTGGAATAACGAACCCCGGCAGACACCCGCCAATGACAGCCACGTTGCCAGCGGCCCCAAGTAAGCGCTAATGCTCGGCGCCGCCCCGTGGCAGTGAGGGTGTCAAGCATCAGTGTGCCAGTGTCGCACCTATTCGCACCAAATCAGCCAATTTTTCCCGTGCCGAAGCAAGGTAGTTGAAACCCCCATAAATCGGTGTACGGAGCACGGGGATCAGCAACCTGGAGGGGGGCCAACTGGGGTTCACCACTCAAGAGAGTCGAGGTTGACTGGAGGATCAGGGGTATGGAAGGGCATTTGCTGTTCTGTTGGTGGGCTCAATCCCGTCACCTCGAGCGGATCCCCGAATCCTACGGATATCAGGTGTCTGACCCAATGCTACCCTCCCTCGTCTACGAGAAAAGCATGAAGACATTGGGGGGGGGGGGACATGTTCTTCTCGCGCTCCTTCCCGCTCGCGCCACACTTTCATCTCAATTCATCTCACTCTCGATTTTGTCTGGTGATCGTCACTTGGGGGATGAGTTGATCTTCGCGTCTGAAGGATTTTCTCTCGTTTCGTGGTACGGGTAATACTCACTCACTAGCGGCGGCGACCTTCATTACACGCCATAGTCTGCGCGCGCATCGACCAGTTGAGAGGCGGCGAGTCGATCGCGGGACAGCACCGGGGATCATCCCGACATTCACAGCAACTCTTCGACCGTAGCCATCATGGTGTCGCAATCATGGCTGGCGACCTTTCTCGCCGTCGGGCAGCTTTCTTCCATCTGTAGCGCGCAAGTGGACGTCCCCTCAGTCGACAACTTTCGCAGAAGAGTCTTTGCTCGAGGTAAGCCGTCGGGCCCATGTCTCTCACAAGACAACAACAGGGCATCACTAAATCATTGCGCAGCGTCGGTCATTGGCGATTGGGTCTACTACGACGGAGGTGAAGTATCACAGGTGTTTGGCGGACTGAGTCCTCAATCACAATTCCGCCCCTCCAACCCGACAAACACCACCCTCTCAATCGACCTCACCAAATCATGGACGCCAGAAGACGTGGAAATCAAGGAAACCTCCAAATCCGCCCCAAAGATGATGAGGCAGGCCATCTTCACCGACAACACGTCAGACTCCTTCTACATCTGGGGCGGCTTCACCTCCTACGGCGCCAAAGTCCCAAACGCGAAGCTCTGGCACTTCACGCCCGACGGCAGCGGCAGCGGCCAATGGGGCACCGTCCTCCCGCACGGCAACACCGCCTTCACGGCCCTCACCCGCTCCCAGGGCGGCACCTTTGTCAGCACAAAGGACTCCGGGTTCTACTTTGGAGGCTTCTCCGATGCCAGGTCCGATCTGGACCCCAACGGCCCCGTGCCGGGCTTTTTGCAGTTCAACTTCACGGCGACGGACACGGCGTGGACGAATAACTCGGACAGCGTGCCGTACTCCGACTACGGCACCTTGGTGGGCGCCACGGCGCACTACGCGCCGTTCGGGCCAAACGGTCTGATTATGATCTTGGGCGGAGGATCGCACGTCATCGGGACGGGCCAGAGCTTGGATAACGTCGGCTATCTCAGCTTCAGCACGATTTACTTCATGGACCCCGTCACCAAGACGTGGTATACCCAGCAGACGAGCGGCAACGCCCCCGGTCCGCGCATGTGGCACTGCACCGTCGGAGTCCAGGGCCCCAACAACACATACGAGATGTAGGTCTCTTTGACTCAAACTCTTCCAGGAAAAAGAGTCGCTTCTTGGGAAAGATGCTAACCCATGTACCAAGCTTCATGCACGGCGGCAGCAATATCGCCAACAAAGAAACCTTTGACGAGGTCTACATCCTCTCCCTCCCCGGCTTCGTCTGGCAAAAGGCAAACTACACGTCCTCGGCCCCGCGCGACACCCACTCGTGCGTCGTCGCCGGCCAGCGCCAGATGATCACCTTCGGCGGCGTCAACAGGATGACCAACAACGCCAACTCGACGCTCTTCTTCAACGAGGAGGATTCCTTCCGCCAGGGCGTCGGCGTCTTCGACCTCACGGCGCTGGCGTGGAAGGACGGCTACGAGCCCACGGCCGCCGCGTACGATTCTCCCGACGTCGTCAAGGCTTGGTACAATGAGGGGTGAGTTTTTTCCAACTCAACGGGGGTTTTTTTTTGGTTTTTTTTATTTTAAATAGGATTTGATGGTAGGATGTAAGTTCCCCGCTGACTTTTGTTCGCAGTAACCTCGCAAGCGTCCCGTACGGCACGGGCGTCGAGGCGCTCATCAACTACGGCCAATCCGGATCGGGCTCGAGCTCAGGTTCAGGTTCAGGCTCAGGCTCAGGCTCAGGCTCAGCCGACTCCAACTCCAGCTCGAAATCCTCCAACACAGGCGCCATCGCCGGCGGCGTGGTAGGCGGCGTAGCGGGCGTCGCTCTCATCGGCCTAGCCGCATTCTGCCTCATGAGACGGCGGAAGCACAAGAAAGTCCCGACGACGGAGGAATCCGGCCCCAACGCCGTCGAAGCCCCGGGCTCGGCA